CCTGTATATTCTAGTATTCTCAAAACCTTTTCAGACTTCCTTCGGTTTGTTGTTGTGATCCTCTTTGAATTTACTATGTTAGTCGGCGTATCGACGCAATAGTACATTAAACCTTGTCATATTCCTTGAACAATTGTTCAATACTTCCTTAGTTTAAATTTTAGCTTGCCTGATAACATGTGGTAATCTAATGCTATATTGACTCTAGTCTTTTTTCTGACGTTTTGAATGGATTATTATAAATTTCAACCCATCCAAATGTGACCATTCTGGTTCAGTGTATTGTGATTCAATGTAACCCGTGTAGCTTTGTTCATGAGGTAATGGGGGTAAATTGTTGTACTTATGACTGATTTGACAAAGGTGCACGCAGTGGTTAGTCCATCACAATTCTCTTTCTTTCCTCCCCATCTATTTCGGACAATGTTGTATCCATATGCGGTGTTGTCCACTCCGACTTTGGTGTTCAGATCCCCCATTAAGATAGTCAGGTCATTTTATGGTTAGTTTTCCAACATGGACCGAACTTCTCGTTAAACTGGTCTTTATCATCGTTGCTATCATTGATAGTTGTGTAGAGCAGGATGATGTCCCGTTTAATCTCTATCTTACTTGTCTTAAAAGATGCTGTGATGATCCCAGATCTATTATATTCCCGTTCCATAAGCGCTCTTTGCGTTTCTTTCCAAAGCATGAGTGTAAATCCATGAATGGACATTGCACTTTTCTTAATGGCCAGAATACTGGAGTACTTCTCAGAAAGCTAATCTCTTCTATCCAGCTTGGGTCCAAGGGGTCTCACCAATTCCAAACATAGCAATGTTGTGTCTGCTCACTTTCACTGCTATTTGAATGATCCACCGATTTCCTTCATTGTTCTGACGATCCACATACTTATATAAATTGTTCTAGTTATCAGAAGAGGCATCAGCCTTGTGAGTTCGAAAGGATCTTGATTTTCACTAGGAGGTTTCATAACACTTCTAAACGAATCTCTCAACTGTCTAAGGAAAATCAAATGATTCAAACACTAATGCCAAATTTGAACCTACTGTGTTATTTCAAGGTCCAGAGTTGAACACTTTGTTTTTGAGCAGATTACAAAAGCTGTGAACTCATAGTACAGTTCTATTAACTCTCTCGTACATCTGTACGAACATTCATCCGTTTATTTTCATTGACTTTACTTACTTTACAACGCTACTTGAGAAGCATCCTGTCTGTATACCTATATTGTAAATTGTTGACTATACCCGTAGAAATAGCCTATAAATGCTCCTTTATAAATATATTCCGTTGTTATTTAGAGTAGTGAGGTCAGTTCGTTTTAGCAGGATTCTTTTCTACAGAAGAGATTTTAGCAATAATGCATTCGTAGTTATGTTTCCTTACGAGTTGATGTTGAGGCATAACCAAAAAACAGGCCAGACTTTTCATCAAGTAATAGTTTTGGAGAGGTTAGATTAAAATAGCAATTGACTATCGTAATCCTAGAAAAGATCTCATTTTCACCGTCGAAAATCTAGACTTTCTAACATTTGAAAACGTACCATAAATTTCTGGCACTCTAATCTGCTTATCACTTTTTTATCATATCTTTTCAAATGTTCTCTTGTGAGATTTTACAGAGTTAATCTTTTAATTAACTCAGCTGGCGAGGTATCTCAATCTGTGACCCATTTTTGTATCATTGAAAATGCATGTGAAACTGGCGTAAACCTGCCTTTTCAAAATCAAGTTATCACTGCTACCAAAGTAACTTTCCGAACACAAGAATTACTTCTCGTAGAGAGAATGCTCGATACAGTCATTGAACGAATGTAAATGTAAAGATTTTATTGTCAATTATTCTGGTAACATTTGGCACGACTTCATAGGCTGGCACAACATTGAAAACAGGGCTGATATACTTTGATATGTCAACCGAAACAGTGAGGATTTTATGTTTTGTCAAAAGTGTTCGGAATTTTTCACAGATTGCATGATTTTGCACCAACATCCATTCATTGTGTAAACAACTGAATTGAAGCATGAAGTAGTGAAAAAAGAACCCGAACAATTACTTAAGACACTTGGCACATTCTGAAACGCCATTTCGCATCATACATTATGATAAATGGACAAGGTTTCGACGTCGTAAGAGAGTATTGATAAAGTTGTACTTAAAATGGTTCCCATAAAATAAACTTACTCAGGTGTGTTAACATTCGTAAAAAAACGTAGATTAGCTTCTTATTTCCTGTTTTCGGAAACTTCTGAAAATTGAAATTCCGTCTTTTTACGTGCATCTTATCCTACCATTGAAATGATTCTGCAAAATCCCTAAACAAGACCAAAATGGACGTCTTGCTGAAGTTAATGAGTATTACATTAACAAGTGAACAGTTATCTTGAGCAACTGTCCAATCCCTTTTCACCATTAGTAGGCCAGTCAGGCAAGGAAGTCCACTTGGAAGCTTTGTTTTTTTGTTAACAAACTGTGTACCTGTTCACTGCTTAGGATCCACTCATCAACCATTTTTCAAATATATTGACTGCTATGCTGCTTGGATTTACAAGCTGGTAGTTAGACACGACCTGTCTCTTTTCGTCGCTAAGACTAGAACTAATGACGTGATCTTTTTAATCCTCCTCAGTAAGCGGTTCCGAAACAATGTCTGCGAGAACTTACAGCCACTATAGAAGTAATCCACCAAGATCTGTTGATTTGAGCCACTACCAGCAATAGCATATCCATCAATTGCATCGTAGTGAAATGAATAAGGATTTCATCAAACTGGTTTAGCCTGCAGTGAATCAAAGTGAGTTCAAACTCTCTAGAGTATCAATTAGTCATCATGTCTCAAGTATGTATGCACCAATATGATGACGAAAAACTTTTGACAAGTGGGTAGATAGGTAGACAAGCAACCGTACAAAGGAATATTGGAAAATTTGTAGTGGTATTGGTTCCTAAACACACAAACTTTTAAGCTGAATATATAATAACAGGTTTATATTCAACACTTACCAACATAGAAAAGGTCAAAAACTGTGAACTGAGGAGCTTCCAGTCGGTACGTTATGGCTTTGCCTTACAGGCGTGACCACTCTTTGCATTATGAAAAAATTGTTCTATCCCCAGTTAAAATATGTCCTTCGGGGTGTTGAGTCAGCATAGAATAAGATGTCGCTCCCCCGTAAGATTTTATAGACTAGGTAGTCCCACAATCGCAAGTGCATAATTGTGGAATAGATCTATTATTCTAGTAGAGAGAGTAAATGCACTATATGCCGAACTATAACGATGGGTTATAACCAATTGACACCTGCAAAAATTCAGTCTTTTTCAAGTAGAATACGATTATTAGCTTAATCAAACACTTTGTAGAATCCTAGGTGGTTAATACAGACCAAATACTCGTGTTCTTGTGTGATGCTCCGGCTGTTTCAAGAAACTAACAGATCCGTGTTACATGATCCACCAGGCAGGAAACGACGTATGACTCAGAGGAAAAAGACTTACAGAGAAGGAACTTATAAAAAGACAAATTGTACACCCCCCTTGATATATTCGCTACTGAGTATAACAGGGGCATTGGCTATTAATTGGACGCTTTCATCTTGTTATCCCATTTTCGCAAAGACATAACCACTGCCTTTTTCCATTCGGATGGTAGCCTGATTTTGGCCAAGCAACAACTGAAGACAATAGCTAGAGGAAGGCAAGAAATATCCGCGCATTCTTACAGAATAGTGAGTTAAATGCCATCTAGGAAAAAGGTTTATGTAGTTCAAGTGACCGGAAATTCCTTCGGTTTCGAAAGGTGAGCTGTGTACTGCTGAGAAGTCCAGATCTAGGATATTCAGTATTGTGTACGCGTTCTTCCTCGTAAAAATTTGAAAAACTCAGGGTTGCTTCTTGATGACTTCGTTATACAAGAAAAATTGGTTTTTAGATTTAGATCTACCCAGTTTGATCCTTCGGACACAAGCATTGAGTGGCACAACCACTCATCTCTCAGTAGCACGACATCAACTGTTCTATATAGTGCGCTTACTTCCGATAATTTTATGAGTATTCCTCTGTAGTATGAACGATGGCTTCGGTGTATAATTCTAAATTGCTACAGGGATTTAAAGTTTACCAACACCTTTACATGTAATACTTTTGTGATCGAATTGTAACGACCCAGTCAAATCAGAAGTCAGAAATGAAGAGGTCCGAAGACGTACTTTGAAATCAGTAGATGTGTCAAGAAGTGTTTGTTCTAACCTGGCTAGCAGTTGCGAGGGATACTCAGAACGTCATCCTTACCCGTGAGCTGGTGCATCTGCATAACCGAGCGTCTTTTGCAAGGCATGTCTAGTGAAACCAGTGAGTTCAGCATCAATGTCCACACCTTACTCACCACTACAATCCTCATGACGAATATTACCAGACAGACTAAAGAGGGACACCCTCTGGAGGATTTAGTCATTTGTTCACTTTGACAAACCAGTAATCTCTCAACCAGAGTAGATTTTTGACTTCCACCCTTTAAATGTCTTTGTTCCTTTTTGTAAAAATTGTTTTTTGAGTGCAGTTATCAGGTAGACCAGTTATGAAGGGGTGTAAATGTTTTAAGGAATACTTTGTCCTAGGGAGTTCGAGATTAGAAATCCAACAATCTCTGATGCAAGGTTAGAAAAATTCCAATCCAACCTGTTGGCTTGTTTGTTTGGCAATAATCAGGACAGTGAGTTACGTTCTTTGACAAGTTAAATCAGACCAAGTTTCTAATATCGGTCTATACAGCCTATTCAAAACATATTATCGTGTCTATAACGGTCGCATAACATTAGAAACATCAATAATTGTTATTTGATGATGTGAATCTATATAGATTATAAAACGGCACTTTAGATTTTATTGATACAGTTGAAGAATGTTTCTCTTTTGTTTAAAGTAGTGGGTCGGTGCTTTACAAACGTGGTGCTCCCCTCGTGGCTAAGGCTTATAGCAGCTCACGTTTTTAATTATGTCCAAAAGCGAGTTAGCATGTGTTTACGCTGCCTTGATGTTAGCTGACGATGAAATCGACGTTACAGGTAGTTTAAATAAAGTTGGTATCTTTTACCTTTCGAATACTTCATAATATTAGCGTGGTTTATTTTGTTTGATAGTGTAGTGACTTAAATGCTCTGTAGTCAGTGTCACAATATAATGCATATTTTGTGTAAAGAGTAGTGTTTTCTTTCGAGCTAATATAGTAATTCTGTATTTTCAGCTGACAAAATAAATACCATCCTGAAGGCTGCAAACATCAAGTTTGTTGAATCGTATCTTCCAAATCTTTTTGCAACGGCTCTAAACGGAAAGAATGTCAAAGATCTGCTAATGTCATTGGGGTCTGCTGCACCTGCTTCTGCTGCCCCAGCGTCGGCACCAGCGGCAGTAGCCAACAGTGCTCCTGAAAAGGGAAAAGAACCTGCAAAAGAAGAAAAGAAACCAGTTTCAGATGACGATTCTGATGAATCGATGGGCTTTGACTTGTTCGGTTGATTTCATCCTATGTACAGAATATATTGGATACATGCATGACCATGTTAGTTCTTTTAATGTTTTTCCCTGAGGGCTACATAACATCTCTTCCGAGTAGATATGTAACCACGAATCGACGTGAGTTCATGTCTTTCTCTTTGTATCATGCGATCAAAGGATTGTGGTGTCATTGCGTTTCTGAATAACCCTACTGAAATTTGTAGTCAAAGTTCACAACAGTAGTTTTAATCAGATCCAATGGTAGATCAGACATGCTTCGTTAAACATTTTTATCAACGGTAGGTAAGCTAGTCTGCTAATTTGTTGCGTGTTCTGTCGAGCTACCCATAGTTCTGTCCAAATAAAATTTGGCGCATCTGTTTGTTAATGCTTGGTTTGCACACAATTCATACTCTAGTATGTTTGAAAAAGCCATCAGATATGTAAGTGAATGTGATCTTCGCCTCTTAGTTATTAGCGAAATGTTTTCGAAACGTTTAATAATTAGTTCGAAATTTGGTTACAGGAGAGTACAATGCACTCCAGAGTATTACAATTTTAAGTGTTTACATTGCCTAGTTACTAGAAATTCCATAGTCGTCTTACACTAAGTGGCATGACACTACCTGATGGATTCTTGTGAAATTGCAATTGACGCAGTTCTCAATCCGGTCTTAATATTCTAATAGAACGTGAATATTTATATTCATGACGATCTGCGTGAAATCAGTTGTTCGCTTACATGTGTCCTGATTTTCACAATGGGAATTCTAAATATTCTAATGGCTTCGTAGTGTTTGTTGCCTGTGTTCCGCATTGGTCGGAGAGCTAAAAGTTGTTTTCTAAAAGCAGTAGGTTCGCATTTGTCTTTACCATGTTAAGACTATGTAACAAGTCGTACACATATTTTATTAGCGTTAGTCGAACCTGGCCTATGGTACGCCATCTCAAGTTGCCATAGTCCGTTAGCCCGAATGGATAAGATTGCTAAGACGAACCCTAGAGTAGGAGTAATGGCTGTGATCATGTTGATAGAAAAGATGAGGGATACATTCCGAAGAGGTATGGTATGTGCGGTAGCCAGGTTATGTACCATCGTGAGCAGCTTGAGCTGTCATCTAAGGTTTATAGCTGTTGGGTATAGCGATTACGAGAACACCAGCCGGGTACTCTGCATCCGCTTATATGGCCCATTCCATGACATCACGGACTGACACCGTCCTTTCCGACAACCCTTGGCTTTTATACAGTCTCTACACCTGAGCTAGACCGCAAATCGAGATAGTTGGTGGATGGGCATAGTTACTGTTTCCTTAACATCTCTGTCGATAAGTCAGTGACCTATCGGCCATCAGTTAGCGGTGATAGGTCCGATTCATATTCGTGTTGTTAAACGGACATGTTTACGTCACAGTTTGGTTCTACTTCATGCATGGTCTACTAGTTATTTCCAGTGTTTGTGCTACGTTCCATTGGTTTTCAAACTTAAAACTAGCTCTGACCAAATTTATTGCTGGATGAGCCCATTATCATGTATGTATTAATACTGAATCTCTTTGGGTTGCTCCGAGATGATGCTCATAAACCTAGGAGAAACTTGTGCAGGTTATCTTGTCCATCGAATTTGTAGTCGTCAAGTAGAAGTCTGTTAGATGTGTTTGTCACGATTAGCAGCGGCGAATTACGTGCTAAAAACAAACTATATAATTCTTTACAGCCGTATAAGAGTTATAGGTTACACACTTTATATCAGGTTGGCTGCCCGGTAGTAAACGTTTCCACCTAGGCAATGTAGGAATCTCAGTAATTGAAATCTGAAAGCGGGTAGACGACGAAGTGGGGCGTTTAGTTTATGTGGCATCTGAAAATCTGGCTAGACACGGAATGTTGGCTAGAGCAAATAAGATTTAGTCACTTGGACGGTACGTATCTATAGGAGGTAGTACTTCGGTGTATGGGTAAATCATAGTAACAAACCGACGAGATAAGTATACTAAGACTGGATAAAAGTGCCGGTACATACGATATGAAGGCGAATGTTTGGACAAGAATGAATTTGCGTTACTCATTTAGAACTTGCTACCTAGTAATGTCTATTGTGGCCCAAACTTGTATCATTCGAAGTTACGAATATTTAGCAACAACCATCTTTGACATAGCCTACATGATGTAACCAAAATGTAATGGTAAAAGCATTCCATATACTAGTTTCTGGATCCCTCCTATTGAAGAATGAGATCTCCGGGCGTAATGACCAAGTAACTGGGTTTTAGTGAGTACAAAACACCTGCCGTTTCCCAACCTACAAAATCCCTGGCAGACAGTAGACATACTTCTGCTGCGTAGAGGTCAAATCCTTATTGCTCTGCAGCTTCAAAACGTAGTCTATAAAAGTAAAGAACATTTGTAGTTCGCAAGAATCTAATTTTAGGACCATTCGCGTATGATGAAACTTGTAACTGATTCATATTGAGGTTAAGCTTAAGGACAGGAGTAAGATGGAAGATAAAGTCAATCAGTTAAGGTCAATGGAGAGAGTGGTACAAAAATGTGTTAGCCCAAGTTGCCACACTACATTAGCTCTACAAGATGAACAACAAAGTGGTCGAAATAATGTACTAGCTATTATCATGAAGACCAAACATTGAGAATAGAGTTAAAAAAGAATGGATGGAAGGTATGTATGAAGGTATATTAAGACTCTGGATCTGTGCAGTTGTGACCATTTCCGAGCCATATCAAAGATATAGCGTAATTGTATTAAAGCCATTAATTTTTGGACTGTACCGTACCGATAAATCCAAACTTCTTGGTTCACAGACACGGAATAGTGCTTTATGGCTGAAGATATTGGATCTTACTGTAGCAGTTACATTTATTCACTACTCATTTATAAACAATCAATTAGAGTACTTTTCATTCTTAGATCTCATTTGTCTCCTGAGCTACATTTCTTATTTTTACCTTTCTACTAAATTTGAATACATTTATCTTACTTTGCTTAACAACTAATGAATTTTCTGTCCATCTGATATTATAATATGTATCGAATTGTACCAGTGCACATTTATTTCTAGCCCTATGTTGACTATGGTCAACTAGTTTCACTTCGAATGTTATGATTTCACTCCAATCAACACAAAAAAATATTTAGCTATTTATAGTAAATTAACTTTGTTATTTTCAAAATTCAATAAAAAAAAAGCAAAATATTAACACCAATATTGTTTGCTTAAGTTTATATTATGTACGGAATCACAGAAAGCGAATATTCCTTTTCAAACATGTACACATTTTCCTATCAGTAAGTAATGGTATATCACAATAGTCAGAAAAAGAAATAACACAATTTGAGGGCGAAAACAAAAATTAGGAGAGGAATAATATGAAAAAGTGATATTTGGATGCATTAACAACTTTACAGATAGTAAGAAATTAAAGGAAGCAAAATAGAAGACACAATAGAATAAGATTACAGATCGAGGGACCGAGCAGAGTAATTCCAATCGAAATAAGCAGTGAGAATTTGTGTAGTTGACACGAATCAATGAGACACCAAAAGTGAGGAAAATAGAATCGACAAACAAGACGAAATGCATTAAGGCTGTTAAATATGCCAACTATCGACTGACCTGTAGGAATATATCATAGATTATATATTTAAATCAGTTTGGGGTAAGAAAAAAAAGCAGTTAGGTACTAACATCTATTCATCCAATCAAACGATACAAAAACAGAGAAAACTAATCTTTGGAAAAAAATATGATAGAAATGATTATCGACATGTTCGAGAACTCCAGCTACGCGCTTTTCGCATCTCCAGAGAAATATTGTTCTGATTATCAGTAAAACTTTGTGTACCTAATGAAATAAATGATTTTTCAATGAAAGGATTTTGTGTATTCATTACTTCATCTTCGGATTCATTGTCACCGTCATTATTGTAGGTATCGAGTAAATTTTGATTATCTACTGCTTCAATATTAGTGTGTATTGGTGAAATACGATGACGAGTAAGTACAGTGCGTAAATTATCACGTAATGATAATACTTTATCGGTCAAACTATGCAGTCCTGATGAAAGTTGGCTATCACGTCTTTGTCCGGATTTAATCTAAAAATGAAGTGTATATGTAGTGTTAGCATACAATCTCACATAAGATATAATCTTTAAAAGTTGTACTATTATCGGAATTGGGAAACATGTTATATAAACTAAGATTTGATGCTGTTTGTGTGTACAACATCCAGTTGTTCACTTAAAGAACTCAGAACAATAATGGAAACTACAATATAAAATCAAAACACACACATTGATGATCACTATTAGGTTTCCCTACATAAATTAAAGTAATTTACACAATAGAAACAGTGTTTATTTCATTAATGTAGTCCATAATGACAGTTTTTAAAACAAAAAATTCTTGTTAATCTAAAAGATATTGATAATTCGTTCAACTGTGGGAAATTTCGACGGAGATTAACAATCTGGTGAAACTAAAAGTTATAACCTTTTAATCAAAGTTTATTTCAAATAAGAAATTAATAGAAATGTGTTTTATATTTATTAACATTTAATAAGATAATGAATAAAGACAAATGATGAAATTTCTGAAAATCTTAGGGGCAAGAAACAAAATATAAACAAACGAAGTGTTCATCCACGACTGATCATAAATGACCCTATATATATATATATATATATATATATATATATATATATATATATCAATAATCTTTTAGATGTTTATACTTGATTTTATCAGAAGTTTTGCACTCTTTCATGTCAACTATTTAAGATACAGTATGCATAATAAAAGATTGAACCGTGGTTTTGTTAAATAACCAGTAATTTAGGAGATGAACATTGAGAAGAGTTTCAAGACTCCATAAAAGTTTAGTCTAGAATAACTGAAAACAGCACACAGATCAGCAATGACGAAAATTTTGTACTTCTGTTGACCATCGAAGGAAAATCAATTAAACAGATGATTGGATACATGAAACAATTTTATGACGAAGCGTAAGGTATGAAACAATTACGTACTCTAAGTTTGAAGGCTTAAACTTAAAAATGAACGACAGTTAGAACACTGTGCTTTTGACTTTTTTCACCATCATCTATAAGTATTTTCGATTTTATACATTATAATATAGTAATCTTAAGTGTTAAACACAATATCGAAGAAATCTAAATCATCAGTATACATGAATCTAAAATTGAAGATTACGAGGCGATAGATGGATATAGTACCCATATAGGTGTATCACATGTGATTTTACAAAAGGTTCTTGTTTAGTTTGTACCTTGAAAAAGTTTCATCATGTTTAGTTCTTTGATAGAGCAAAACAATATCAACTCATTATTTACAGAATGGATTTAGGAATAGAGGAAATTCTTACGAATATCTCTCAACATCTAACATGAGGATTTTGTATGATTATTAATAATGAGATAGTCGATTATTCTGACAGTGGTTTAGGGAAAAACTGTATGGATTTGTATTTAATGAGTTTTGCAATTATTTTTAGTAGTTATATGGTGGCTAGTAATGGAGTCTTTTACATGAGTTTGGTCCTATTTAGGACTCATCAGCTGGACGTATTTGCACTGCAGTGTTGATGTTCATATCGGGACTCGAACACAGTACTTGACATTGACGATGAAGTTCAAATTTTAACTGCATAACATAAGGTAAAAACTGAGTTATAGGATATTAATGGACAACTGAAACTATAATTGCATTATGATGGAAACTGATAAACTGTTTTTAACTGCTTCATCTATTGCTTCCGTTACTATCTCTGAAGATGACTAAAAACTGTCATTTTACAAAGATAATTTCAGCAAATGTTAATCCTGTATGATAGGTTGGAACACTAATATTGAGAGTTTCCTGAATCGATTTCGCGCATACACTCGTTATCTTCTGAATTCTAAAATTATTTTATACACTTTATTCTGAACATTTATTCTTTACCAACTACCTTCTCTACATCGATGTCCCCACTCGTGTTCTATTCACTACACTAGTACTACTGCTTCCACTACTTTGGTACTTATCTTGAGAATTGCATCTTGCCATTATATGGTACAACACTGGATGTATATATGTGTCACGTCCTATGTCGCTTATGACTAACAGAATTATTGGTAAAACATTCCAGTTATGTGGGGGCTGTAGTACTAGTGCTTTGATTTAAAAAAAAGATTACAAGTTTGAAACTTTGATGCTTAGCTAATGAAGGCAAACAGTGGTTGGCCAATGAGCGTGGGAAAAAACAGACATTCAGCCTATTAACAGTGGTTTCCTATCGTGTTGTTGATTTCGATTTACTCAGTGTAAACAGTTTTTTATTATGTGAAATAAAGTATTGTTTAATCTACTCTGGTTCTCCATTCTCGGTAGTGAATCACGTATCGTCCCCAAGTAACCGGATACAGCCGAGGGCGAGGATAGTCAGCTCCCCCTCTCGAAATGTTATCACATGACCACGTGTATACGGCCACTGTCAGGGAAGTCCTACTTACTGCCTCCTCGTGGCAGGGGTGTTTTTTTAAGGAATTGAGAGGACGAAAATATAATGTACGGTGCTTTAACCATGTTGGTGGATATGGAGGGTCCATCTAGGGGAGTTGGAAAACCCTGATTACAAACCAATGGTGCACATGGGCTCCAGGATCCTGAAGGAATAAACGGCGTATGAGCCAATCGGTGTTCATCGGCTGCCATGGGACTGCATCTCCTTACGTCGCTCCACTACCTTGTGGATAAGACCTCTAGGTCAAACGCCCGGGGTGTAGCTACCTAAGAAAACCACCTACCTCTATTTGAGTCCCCGGGCAGTATCACAGCCTCCACACAAATCAGTGATAACTGCTACTGGTCTCATTGCTATTGTGTAGCGCATATGTATTTGGTGCCACCTTGTACCAATGTTTATGTGTTCAAATAAATAAATAAAATCATGTATTTGGTATAACATGATCTAGTCTGTGCGTACCCCATCGATCGAGAATTCAGCTTGATGGTAGTCTAATTTTGGTCCTCCAGATCTATTATTGTATTATAGTAGTATATCGGGGAAGAAGAAAATATTTCCATCATTCTGTTATATCAAAATTGTGTTGCATAACTGTATTTTACTTTAAAAGTACGGTTAGTAGCCTGATAAAAAGATCTGGATCCAAATTTCACTGAAGGCTGTTCGTCATTGATTGTCATCAAAGATTCTAAGTGATTTCGAGTGTGGTCAAAAACATGAGTGCGATTGTTATTTAGCTGTTGGTTCAACCCTGAAAAGATACTTCTTCCTGAGAGGATTAAGAAGGAAAGTAGATTAGGGTTGATAGTCTTTACAACCTGGAAGCATGCCTACACAACTATTCGAGGTCAATTGTACGCGGCGTTTTTGTAAATAGTTTCTCGTGTGCTAGCTCTGTACTTCCACATCTTAAGGTTGATAGCCGAAATTGATGAGGTAAGGTGATGTGTACCATTTATTGTTAAATACACCAACCTAATAATAATTAAGTAATGAAAAAAAATAACAATGAATAATTATTATTACTACCCAATTAAAGTATTACCTTAGCTTCATATGATCGTGAATTAAGGAATTTCACATATTCTGGACAGATAAGAGATGCTGGAGTTGGTTTTTGCCAACGTTTTAAAAGCAATGAAAGAAATATGACAGAAAGAGATGAAGCTGCCATTGCAGCTGATGCAAACCATGGTGTCAATTCGATGCCGAATGGCATTAAACAACCTAAATAAAATAAATAAATAAAACAACGACGAAAGGAAACACTAGATTTATCCAATATTGTGATTTTTGAATAGAGAATAATAGGAATAATAATAATAAAAATTTTGATATAAACCTTTGTTAAGATTTGAATAAACAACTTTAGAAAAGAAAGAAGAACTTGTATTCGCGAGAATCTCAATAATTAAAACTAAATGGTAGTTTCAATATTTCATTTAAAAGTTATGTTTAGTTTGAATGCTATTATTCAGGAAATTTGTATTGTGGCGTACACAAATCAACTGTTATATATATATATATATAGTGAAATTTGAAGATGTGTGCGTACTATTCTTATAAAATTGTGTAAATATTTCATTCCATTATTCATATTACTTATTATCAATATAAAAGTAGGTAAACAATTATTAGATCTAATTAATATTGAAAATGACGTAACCGTCGAAACCTTTAATGTCTAGTTATTTATTTACAATAACGTATTATTTTGTTTGTGTGAAGGTCAATCATTCTAACCGGTTGTCTAAGCTCACTAAGGTGCAGATGACTTCGAAGCTATCACATATACTTGTTGACTACCAAGTGATTTAATTACTAAGTCAATGATCCATTAATGTGTACCTATTAAAAGACTGTTAGCGACCAATTAGTGACTGTTTAGAATCTGATACCGATTAAGGGTTATGTTATTTATATGATATTTATTTATTTATTTGAACACATAAATATTGGTACAAGAGTGCGCCAAATATATAAGCAAATTGAGGCAGGGTTCGAACCTGAAAAGTAGTGGTTGAAAGCTGAACGTCACTGATTATTTTTTGTGTGTGATTATCGTTAGTAAGGTAGTATAATTTATAATTTGTGCAGCAGAACTGTTAATTTCCAGGAAAATCGACTAGGAATCAGATTTTTGTTTAGCCCTATGGTAATTACTTCTTACGAAGAATCGAGATTATTCCTATACGGACAGACTATGGTGCACCCGATAGAACAATAACTGACATACAACACCACTTAGATATTCATATCTCATACGTCAATATGAGATATAGAAGATATGACTTTCAGGAGAGCTTTGTATTCCGAATACAAGTCAGGCATTGTAATGGACACAATTTTGTTCATATACCAACACTCGATGACCTTGAGATATAATAAAATTAGTAGACTAAATGACAACAACCAATCAGATAATCGGAATGTCGCTGTGGGAACATAAACTGAAGAAATGCTATTGAGGTAATCTTTGAACGAAAAAAACTAACATGTTTCTAATAAAAACTATACAATCTGAGCCCTTTTTAGCAGGCATAAATTATTATTATTGGCTTTATTCAAGATTATACGTTTAGTACAACATGGAATTCTCAGCAAGCAATATTTCAATGAAAAACAAAGTAATCAATAACCACATACATGAAATAGGTAAATTGATTATCTGGAATTCAATGAAATATTTTTAAGAATGCAAGTTATTAACTAGGTTCGCTCTTACAACCTGTACGCCACATAGCATGTTTGCTAGATAAGGTTTTGTAGAAATTTTATATCTTAGCTTGCGTGCATGGATTCTAATGTATTGGCGTCTCGTTTTACCAGGAGATATATTAAGAGAAAGATCTGAATGAAGTGGATGGTTAGTATTTGATAATACTTGCCAGGAGTTTGCAAGATTTTAAATGTCTATTAACAACCATATTTATAATGACCTTAACAAACTCATCACACGCCCTAATAACTGGCTTTAGCGCTTTGCACAACACAGTGAAACATTTACTCAAAAGCCCAGGAAAGAATAATGAAGAACAATAATGAAGAATAATAGATGATATACAAGAATTTACAAATCGTAAAAGTAAATGTCGAATAATGCCAAAAGTATGAAATCTCTTTGTATAATAAGTCGAACGAAGAACTTTTGTCGGTATCAATAAAATATGAGAAAAGTAAAAGAGATTAGAGAAAAAAATTACATCTAGGTAAATGAATCTTAACACTTATTTTAATTACAAAATCTTCGTTAGTACGAACTTTATAGAATCAACAACAAGGATATTTCAGTGCTATCTCATTTTTTAAGGTTAAAATCAACAATTTAAAAAAAACAAGTAAACAAACAAGCAAATAAACTGACCTGCAGCAACAGGTACTCCTATCAGGTTATATAATGTAGCAGCAATAAAATTACATCGTATTCGACGTACAGTTTTGTTCGATAAATCAATAGCACCAACTACATCAATTAATGAATTACGTATAAGTACAACATCAGCAGTCTCAACAGCAACATCTGCACCACAACCAATAGCTATACCGACATCTGCTTGAGCTAATGCAGGACTATCATTAACACCATCACCAATCATTGCAACATATTGACGTTGAGATTTTTTAAGTGATACACGTAAATTATTTTTTCGATATTTCATTTTATGATGACGTTCTATTTGACGTTGATGAAAAGAATTATTTTGATGTTTTGTTAAAGAATTTGATGATTTTACAAAAGTAGAATAATAATTATAATGTTGACTAGTAAAACAGCATATTACATTAATACACTGTTTAATGAATTGTTTAATAGATAAAGTAGTTTTTACAGATTTTTCATTATATTTACCCTGTGTACTTTGAATAGTATGATTAAATTCATCATCAGTTAATTCTTCATTGGATAAATTCAATTCATTTTCTTTATGACAAGATGAATTACCATTATTATTATTTGGAATCGTTTTCTTTAATGATTTGAGTTTGGAATGATTTGGTTTATTTGATATTTTCGAATTGAAGATTTGACAATTCGGTTCTAAAATTACACATGAAATAAATATAATGGGTATTAAAAGTTAATCTATTCTTTTTTATAACACAAACATATTTCTAATGAATAATTACCTACTATATTGTGGTGTATGCTACTTATGTTGACAGATATAAGTAGTATGTGACACCAATTAGAAGTGGAATGACTGGCAGCAGAATACTGAAATAAAGTGAACAAGAAGGGAAACAGAGAACAATTGTAACAGTATCGGAATAGAAAGAATCATGAAGCATGTGAAGGACAATTGAAGGTGGATTTGAAAACAATGTATTTAATGTTTAGTTTTCATATTTTACGAACACACTGCCATTTGGCATTAAACAATAAATTTATCTTCCTCATTTGAATTTTTGTTCACTATAATAGTACTCCCGTTGTAGTGAGTGAAAACCCAACTACGATGAACCATTTTACTGTTTTATGCAAAATCAAACAGTGCCTTAGTAAAATCATACATTAAATACATCATTTACATATCTTTCTTGAGTTATCCATTACATACTTCATCATTCTTCCAATCCTGTTGTTATTTTGATTGCTCTCTGTTTTCCTTCCTCTATCTTGATTTTAAACTTTCGCTGGTAAGCATTCCAATTCCAATCGCTGTTACATACTACTTATGTCTGTCCTCACAACACTACTACTAAAACTACCTATTACTTTTAAAAAATGAAAATAATTGGCCAACTAAAATTAATGATTAGTGGTAATTACACTAAATTTTTTCAATTTTGACATGACTGAGAAGCAGAGACATCTTCATTAAAATCTCCCTCGTATTAGGTATTCTTGCCAAATGAATGAAGTATTACACACAATTTTATTTTACAGTCTTTAAAAATGTAAACTTATAAGTCAACGATCTGGCTTCATCATAAACGAACGATAAATAATCTATGAAAATAAATCCTCTGTTTGATTTCGTATATTTGATTTGGGCTAACTCCATTTGGGCGGTGGTAATAAAAAGACAAATAGAAATTTATTTCAATATTTTATGAGAAAAAGGATGAGAAATATGAAGTGGAGAAGCCCAATTAGCAGATGGTAAACGTGGAAACTTAGTTAAAACAAAAACGTGACTAAACATTATTTACGGACATCATAAATAAAAGTAGGTATAGATATATTGTACGATTATGTACACATGCTCAATATTACAAATATGAATGACAAAATGACTAGGAAGGTTGAAATAAATCATCTTTCCAAAGGTAAGGATAAATCGTGTAGACGTGTAACAATGCTAGTTGTTAAGATCTGAAGTGTTTCTTTTTTCTTTTAGAAGAAAATCTAATCTATAGTTTCATCCATTTAAAATCTTAGTGAAAAAAAGAAACGAACAGAGGAACTAAATACAACTTGAAAATCAACAGTTTAAATTCATAAAAAAGAAGGGGAGTGTGAGAAGTTACATCGATTTTGTGCATACACACACTCATCCACACTGATGATGACGATATCGAAGGTATTTTTTAATCATAACTGAGATAAATAAGTTACATTGAGTGACGATAACAGATTTTAGTCAACTATTTGATTCTTAGATAGATCTGCATAATCTATGTACGTTAGTTAACTCACAGTTGTTAAATTCATCACAATACCGACTAGGTATTTGTGCACTAGAGAGTGTGTGTGTGTGCGCACTGGATTAAAGACAACAGCATCAGGTTTTTTTCTCTCTCACAAGTTTAACTATTCTAGGAATTTTATTAAATTACCAACATGACGGAAATCAGTTAAACTCGTTTATGCTCGTATACTTGACTAAATTACAATTCAATCTGTTTGTATGAATTCACCCAACACAATCAACTTGTCTATGTGTATGTAGACCGGGATTAGCTGAGTCAGAGGCCAAACATGCGGCTTAACGATTGAAACTTCAATGGTCTGCTCAATACTCTACCTTATCATTTGGTTGTATGAGGGAGTTTGTTGGTGATATCAAATCCCCAGAACTCACTTGATAAACGTCTTATTTTTGCAAGTTTATTTTGGAAAGATGAATTTCTTTTTTTTTATTTCTTCAAAAGCGCTCATTTTCACCTTCGTGTCGTATTTCCCACTTGGGAGGACCTTAAATGTCATTGGTTCATTGTCTCTTTTAATATGCTATTTTGTAACGTTTCCCAAGAACATTTTTATCCCGCATATATACTCTTGAATTGTGCTTGTGGTTGTTGTCCGTGATTTTGGATGCTTAAGGAATACATTTCCCTCTTCTGAACCTGGACTACTCTCTTGTTAGCAGGGCTGGGATGTATCAGAATAGCTAGCTTATTTGGTCACTAAATCGCTGAGTCTTCGTTCGGTTCACAGATTAGGTAAATTAGTAATCTCTTCAAACATAGCAGAATTCGAATAATTTTTTAAAAATAGTTTGCAGAAAAAATCTACTTATCATCCATATTATACACATTCCATGAATATTAAGTACATTTTAGGGGAAAAAAAGTAAAAAAAGCGTTTAAACCATTCGTTTGTTGATATTTAGAACTAAATGTCGATCAATCTTTGCTGCTATATATTCATCCTGGCTATTTCGAGGAAATCCGCATAGGATTTATACATATAACTAATAATGACTGATTAAACTTTATTCCTAAACATCAACGATGGGATAACTTAATCCTTTACTTATAATCGTATAAACATGATGCCCGTCAGACAATTGAGTGGCTGTTTGAACTCAATAGCTCAGATAATATCCCATTAATGTTTAAAAAATTAAGCACTGAATTTGATTCTCAATGTGAACGTCAAAACAGGAATGCAGATTACATCCAGCTGACTAATCTCAAACAGAACGAAACACGCATCATAGACTTCCCTGATAGCCATAATCCATCTATTTTAAGTAACATGTTTACTATTATTATTGTGATATATTATTAATAAAATGTAAACATAATATAAAACTCACCATCTCCAACAATGTTCGTTACACAATCAGTATTATCTGAAATACAACCTTTCGTTGTCTTCATTTTATTCTGTTTTTTATTTCTTATCTTCGTCATTGACATCATAGTAGAATTTCTCTTATTTCTTCTACGAACAGTTGTACAATTTTGTAATTCTTTTATTTTATCCGCTTTATGACCAGGTAACACTTCAGCATAGACTTCATCAATACCGATTTGTTGTGCGACTGCATTAGCACTACGATAATTATCACCAGTTAATAGAGCTACACGTATACCACGATGGCGTAGTGCAGCAACGATTAAATCAGCTTCCGGTTTAATTGGGTCAGAAATTGTTACTAGACCGACCAGAATATTATCAATGGCGACGTAAACGACTGTGTGACCTTGAGATTCATCAGCTGAAACTAGTGAGTCCAATGTTGGGATGTTACAATAGCCAGCAGTTTGACGATTTGATTCACGTCCATCCGGTAGGTATTCATTGGATAAAATGATGGGCAATATTACGTTGTTTTGTTTTAGCCATTCACGATTACCAATCAGTACAGAATGAACACCACCTTTAGTGGAGTCTATAAGTGAGAAGTTGAGTAGAAAAAACGTAAATATCGAGTCAAATATAAACATATACGAGAAAAACACTTTCATTTTTAGAGAAATAAGGTAGTTATGAAAAAGATAGATGAAATAAACTGGTGAAGAAAATTTCATGATATCCTTAAAATTCCAGATCAATTCAACTCAAAGTCACTGCAATAGTTTGTCAATTGATTGTAAAGTTACCAAACAAAAATAAACTTCCTGAGACATTTCAATAAATCAAATTATGAATTGAATTTTCTAAAATTATCTCAATAAACAGGTAAAAATTTATGTACTATACACTTTGGGGCAAATCTTTTTATGTGAGGGGTATTGATATTAATCAATGCCTAAACCAAAATAGAGAGGCTACAACTAAGAGGTTAGAAGTCATGTTTTAACAATTTACCTATAACGTTTTATATTACTACTAATAATCATGTACTCACCAGTGACTGACTTTTAGAGTAAAATTCATGGAGTTTTACTGGGAATTTGTGACTAGTGGAGAGCTCAACCAAATCGAGTGTGACACAACTATTAACAGTTGCAGTGAATGATGGTCACGTAGTATCACCAGCTGAATTAAGCTCGAATTGTATAAATTTGGATACCAACTTAATAGTCTGAAAGTAAAGGGTTCGTCGAAAGGCCTAAAAGTCTAGGGTTTAATTGCTGGCGGAATGATGGAAGTTTATTGCTGAAGAGTAATATAATAGTACGAAAGTTTTTCAGTGCCTCCTGGTTTTCAATGGTTTCCAGACTAATGTCAGTTCATGTTATTATCAGTTAGGAAACGTTAAAAGTTGTTGCTAGTGGACCACATATGTTGCTAATAGACGCAAGTTTAACAATTTACTCACAAAGCACTTACAGTCAGGATTACTGTCAATTAGATAACACATTCATTATTATCGATCGTAAAAAGTTTTACTCAAGTAATTTAGCAGTGTACAAACAGTAGTCATTTTTAATTATAAGGAATAGTTTGATCACGAATTCTTTCTTTTCTTGACGTTTTATTATGTAAATAAGTAAAGTAGCATTGTACACAAAAACAGTTCATATATATGTATCAATCAATATTTTATACTAATCTACTATTAAAAGAAGTTTAGGTTGGATGCTAGAAAGGTCTGATTAGAGACAATGGTCTATTTAAACTAAAACAAAGTAAAAATTTATCACCAATAATAGTTGATTATTATTATTGATATGATTAGAAGCCTTCTTCTATCAGAATCCCACCAGTCAGTCAGTCAGCTACAACGTAGGACCGGGCACATATATGTATCAGTCCCAGTTGCCATACCTCATTAACACAACAAGATGGACACCGGATTCACAAAGTAGTTAGTTCAGAAGTGGTAATATATAAAAGGATTGCAATAAGGATATAGTACAGGAAGAAAGAATTAGTTCGTAGAAAGAAAGATATGAAGTGATTTTAATCTCTTAGTTTAAGGGAAGACGGTATACACCGACGCCATTGGGGTAGATTCTGAGCCCTGTCACCCAGAGTCTCCAAACATTGGTTACGATAGTCACGCGGACCCCAACCAAGTAGTCTGCATCTACCAACATGGCTCAGACTAGAAGTTAGTGACTTCAAGCACTGATGCCATGTTTTGGTTTGGCCGGCCCTAATTTTCTCCCAACCATCACCAACACTTGACAGCATTGCGCGTTGTGGTAATCGGTGTTCAGGCATACGTAACACGTGGCCCAACCATCTCAGTCGATGAAGATTAACAACCTCACCAACTGATTTACCATCATTCGCTAATACCCTGCGTCTAACCTCACTATTACTTACCCGGTGATCCCAGCAGACGCCAGAATCCCACCAAAACATAATCTATCATCAAACAATAAAAAAATACATGAGTATTTAGATTAATACAAATAAATATTATACTGAAAATGAAATACACAATAAATTTTAAATATTAGAAACACGAAGTTCAGTGATTCCTTTTCAACGAATTTATTATCGAATTGTACAATTATATATACAACTGTACAGTTTGATAACATTTTTATTGAAAAGAGATCTTTTCGCTGAACTACGTGTTTTTGACACAATAAATTCACAACATAACTACCTGCCCATTCAATTCTTTCTGATCCATTTAAAAAGTGTCTTTGTTGTTGCTGTTGAGAAGTGATGATATCATTGTTTGTACTAATTTTCTGTTGTACACTTTCTTTGCAATCTCCTAATGCCTGATACTCATCTAATTCATTGACTGTAGAATGAGAACTAGCCGGATATGTCATAGATTGATCAGACAACAGATCATTAAACTTTTGAAAACTAATATTATTGTTATTATTCAATTCATCATGATCCCCATTAATAAGGTTATTCTCAGTAGAAGGCGTATTTTTTGTCGGCCACATACATGATATGTAAGTTAATTTCATTTGTAATGCTGCATTAATATCTAATTCAGTATACTGATTGCTGAAACTATTACTTCTAACATCTAAAGGTTTCGGCAATGCCGGACCTGGTGGACAATCATACGGTAATAGATCAACATTACATTGAACACCTAGTCCAGATGAAGTTCTAATTTGAGAAATCTATAAAAAGAAACAAAATGGAAACACATATATTATAACACATACATAAACTCCAGGATATACAGAACTAATGATCACTGCTTCGACATAAAGTGGTAGTGATGTGGGTTACTTATATCCGCACAAGCAGTATGTAACGATGGCCAGACATAGAATGTATTTCAGTAGAAGGTCGATGGGGAAATAACGGGAACGGAACGCAATTGGTATGAACAATTAAATCTGAAACAATGGATTAGTGTTTGCAACAGGAACAGTAAAGTTTGAGATGATGGATTGATATTTTGCAAATTAACTATTTACTATATGGTTCTCAGATTTTATTGAGACGCTCTGTAATTTCGTGTCAACTACATTCGATTGTGCCCATTGGTGTTCTGTTCACTAAAGTACAACATACCAATAATTTGAGTAGAGGAAAATGTTTGAACCATTCAACTGTTAAAGCGAAACTAATATTTAAATACCTTTTTGCAAACAATATTTCTTTAGTAACTCATTTTTGTAGCTTACTTATTTACGCCTATTAACCTGCGTGGAGCATGGACCACCGAGCAGGATTCTCCGACCAACTCCATCTAGGACTCTTCTTCTGTTACGTCTGGTGTTTAGCCAGCATAGGGCCACAACCCCATCCCCGTAAAAAAGAAACTTGGTAGGAAAACGCTAACCAAGAAAAAGTCATCTAAACCATTTAAATATTCCTCTGAGAGTTGAAGGGTCTTCATACGGAAAAATTATGAAGTCTCATGGTGATACCCGAAATTCTTCATGAATCACAAAGCTGATGCCCTTTCTGACAACAGGAGCAATAATTACTATAGGTAAATGAAATGTCCAGACAATCTGGGAGACCGAGGTAACTAATCAAATAGCTGTGGAAATGAGGAGATACAACTTGGCGGTTTTTAGAATAAGGGAAATCAAATGAGGCCTATAATGAACAGAAAAGATTAGCTTCGGGAGAGGTGTTGTTGTACTCTGGTCACGAAGAAGAAAATACCTTGTACACACAAGGGGTTGCACTAATCCTGTCTAAAGAAACCCGAAGAGCACTTATGTGATTGGAATCTCATGGGTATGTGTATGCTACCACTGAGAAGAAAATGAATTGCTAAATTAAACAAAATGAAGATGGTTCAGTGAATAAAAGCTTTTTTTGACGCTGTTATCTACTTAAACTATATAATCGTAATTACAGTTATTTTTTATGCATGGCTAATTGTCAGTGGTAAACTGATAATTTAGGCCACCTAAACGTAAATTTATCGCTTCACTTGTTTCTGGAAAGCGGGTTATATTAGTCGCACAAATCGTGAACTTTTGAACACATATATAGCTCCCTAAAGGTGAGCAAATATCAGTCAACAGCTCATTCCTTAAAGATAGGCGTCACCTCTAGTCACGTACCGCCATCAGAACAATCATTCAACGTTATATACAAAATCAAAAGAATAGCCTTAATCAAGGATTTAGATCAGACATTTTAGTACATCCGAGGATTTATTAATCCACCAACTTAAGCCCGACATTTACGTACAAAGCGGAGACGTTTTTAACCCTTTATCTTAACCTTAGTCATAGTACTTCTAATTGTACAAATTGTTCTTACTTATTCTGTGTACTATTCATCTTTAAATTCGTCTTATAGATAATCATCTTTTAAAGTTCGTTTTTTTGCAAGTTAATACGTCTTATTACCTTTAGGACGATTACTTAACTTATAGTTGATATCTGAAAATTGTCGATTATTTCTGATAACTTTGTTAAATATAGCAACAACCCTCTATTTTATTGTAGACTCTTATGTTTAACGATACCTATGATTGTGCACCATTTTAGAAAGTGCAACTGTCCATGATAAATTTTTTTTTGCTAAATAATATTCATATTTGTTTAGCGAGGTAATAGGATAGTTTCATTTTCTTAACATTTCTAAATACTTCTAACTTTGGTAAAGTTCTGAATTTTACAGAGCAAATAATTTTATGGGCTTACGAACTTGCTTTGTAAGTGGTCAGGAATCATTGAATGGGTGTTTCTGACATCATGCATAGAGATAATAAATGTCTACAATTGTGTGGTCATTGAGCAAGGACCAATGTCATACATTTCTGGTTCATTTTTGTGTTGACTAAATTCCATAGGTTGTCCACTAGTCGGAATAACTCGAGACCGTATGGACTGTGTTGAGATGTAGGGTGGTGGTTGGAGGTAGTCAACAGGAATTCTTGGAGCTAGGTTATTGGTGTTTGGGACTCGGCAGCAGGGTACACTTGTAATCTTGAGGGTCGATAAAATTCAATAAGCTCTAAAAAGACTTGATATGCATGGTTTTGATCACTACTCAATGATCAACTGATCGTAAATACTTATCAGTCATACGCGAGGTCAGTCGCAGCCTGAATAGTTCAGAGGTAGCATCTCTAACTGTGAAAGTGGGCGACATAGGATCGAATTTGTCATGGAGCATTAGTTTCCTCAAGATTTCAGGTACATATTGTTGACGAGCCCCAAATAGCACGAAACATCGGTCCAGGGCTTTTTGTCAACTACCTCCAACAGTTAACTTAAAAATAATGCATACCTCAACCGTAGCCTACTCAAACGTACTATGTACTGATTTTAATAGGTGAGGGTTAAGAAAAAGTGAACTAAAAGTCTTCCAATATGAGCTGTAGACACGGACACGTAGAAAAGATATTCAACATATAACAAAACATAACTATTTTAAACTAAATAAGTAATAGTATACTGATAATTGCCCACCTTTGCAAAGTCATTAGATAAATCATAATTCATTTTACTATTATGAGTATTCTGATAATTTACTCCATCTTTTGATGTATTTAATAATAATTCATCTGAATTAAATGATAATGCAAATCGACGAAATGTACGTGCTATAATAAGTAGAGCATTTGCAAGAGGATGTTGTACTGTTGATTCTGCACTGGCGATAAGATATAAAAATCGACTAGGTGATATGTTTGAACAGAGTTGCGGTTTATATGAAGAGATCGATAATGGTGAACTTTGATCTGGTGATTGGTATTTGTTCTGTTAAGAGAAGAAATCAGACATTAGGTAAATTAATCAGTTTATATAAATAATTGGTACTTGCCATATAAATTAGAAATAAAAAACTGAAGTTAACCAAAATAATGTATTAAACCAAGTTCCTTTAACATTTTAATAGAACGACATGAAACCAATAAGAACATGGTTCTAATAGAAAAAATATGAAAAGATATGTATGGCGGAACATTGACATTCGGAACCTAGAAAATAATAAAAAGTGAAATCATTTGGGTCAGCGAAATCGACTCTAAAACCATTTAATTTAACATCTCTAACTAATGATGGCTGGTTATTTAGCAGACCTTAATCAGGTAATTTCCGTCTACCAATTTGAATCAGTTCAACAGACCGCGCTAGCGGGATCGTAGATGGGCACTGCTGAGGAGTCCCACAATAGGACGAAACGGAAGTCCATTGCTTCCAGGCTTTCAATGATGGTCTAACATCAATCGGTTCATGATCTCAACCAAAAAACTTAACAATCTCCACAACCCCTAGACTGATAGTTAATAATTTCATGGACTGCTCTGACCTTAAACTGAGAACATCAACAAATTAGCCGTCATTATCTAACCTTATTATTGCACGCTCGGATGTTAAACGACAACCAAACAATGGTGTAAAGTTATCTTACGCTTACAGTTTTCAACCAACTAGTTGGTCCATCTGTGACGGACTATATTCACCTTAGTAGAGGTGCCCCCGTCTCATAACAGTCTCGTCTGAAAATTTCTACCTGATTCAAAAACTGATTATAATTATGTATGTAATTAGGGATATTGTATTTGTAGGCATTGAGTTTACACCAATATACACGTATACAATTGAAACTTTTCAACTGAAAGCTCATAAACAAAATTGAGTGTAAATCTTTTCGAAGAGACTAAATTCAACAGTAAAAAATGTGAATAGTTTTATGAATACAAATAGTCGGTCCCAGTTTTTATCCAGTTGGAAGTTAGTTAATCCATAATAAGTATCAACATTAAACCAAAATGCAAATATGAATCATTTAAATAAAACTATGTAAAATGTAATTTAAGCAAATCAACTTATAACATTGTCGGTGATGATGCGTTCATCAATTGTCACATATACAGTTCAAGTTAATCTTTAATATAGGTGCATATGCACCTAAACAGATGAATAATAAATAATGTAACTAAACAGTTCTGTGCTAATTCATTCTATTAAGTATTGATTATCAGAGTTTGTTCTTTTTCTTTACACAGTTTACTAGTAATTTATATTACTAACAATACACGCACATACACAATCACAAAAGAAAGACTTTAAAATGATTTATGAGCAATTGATGGTTATCGATAGATATCACAAGCTAAATAATTGTAATTGACATAATATATTTTGTATTGTAGAATGAAATGATATTGAGAAAGATGAAATATTGAGAATATACATTCATCATTGAAAATTTTAGAAAACAAACAAACAAAGAATATCACTGAGTGTAAAAACTCATGGGAACAAAAGTAGTAACTCTATTATTTTTTGCCTTGGACATTTTGTAATTTCCTATTGCCATTGTGAGAAATAGGTAGCACATTGTTGAAGATGCTACTGATAATCCTTGAGTAAAATCGAAATTATAATCACCAGGCCCTGAATTTCACAAGCCTTATTATCATAAAAGATGGTCAACAAACAATCTTTCAATCTAATGTAGATAGTCTGGTTTGTTATAATAGACAAGTCAAACACCATAACATTAAAAAAGCAGTTACAATCAAAATATATTATAGTATTCAATCATCATTGTTTGAAAAAACAAAACTCCACAAATAACTGTACATTAAGCATCCTATTTACCTCTGCAGACATTACATAACTAATGCACCGTGGCGTATGTTACTTATGTCGACAGATATAAGTAGTGTGTAACACCAATCAGAAGTGGAATGCCTGCAGCAGAAGATTGAACTGAAGTGAACAGGAATGAAAACAGAGAGTAATTGTCATTACAACAAAACCGAAAGAATCATGAAGCACGTAAAAGACAACCGAAGGAAGATGTGCAAATAATATATGTGATGTATAGTTTTTATATTTGATCATGACACTGTAATTTCGCACATAAAAAATATATCGGTTATCCCCACAAAGTCTTCGTACTAACGCTTAGCAAAGGAAAAGAATGCACCAGTGCACATTCCAGCAGAACGTCTAATGAGTAATCAGATAAAAGGTTATATTGATAGTGTATATTTTACAGGTTATTGAATGTATGGCAAATTAACAGTATTTTATTTACATTCAGTGAAATTTACCTAATGAATAAATGTAACTCAAGAGATCAAAGAAAAAAAGACAAGAATTATATGACAACTTCGTGTAAACAGAATCCTTACTTATTACACAGTAAAAGCCAGATTATTCAGCTGTTTTTTCTGCTTTAACATATAAAATTATTTTATGTTTCATTGTCTATCATTTACTGAACTAATAATGGTAGTAAACAATTGTATATTGACAATGTCATAGTTATATATTATAGAAATCTCTATTTTGTAGGAGGATATATGAATATTAATCACATGTGCCCACTAGTGATTTAAATTCAAGACGGAATTCTTAGTGAGTCGATGATTAAGGAACCATAACAATTAAAAGTTAGGATTAAGACCATTATATATTATTGATCAATAGCAAAGGGTACTTTGAACAAAGATCACACCCCACAAACCATGAAAAAAAATCCTCGTGTATTTACACTTTGTTATGTTTTACAAAATAATAAAAAGGAAAAAAACGAGTACTTACTACTTCTGTGGATCTCTCCATTTCACCACTAGGTGGTATGAACATGACAATACGGATAACTTGTGGTCGGCCTTGAGTGATTGTTCCAGTTTTATCAAATAATATTGTAGTTAACTAAAAAGTTTGCAGAAGGAACAAAAAACGTGAATATAATATATATAAGCAGTATAGTTGGACAAAAAATTTGGTAAAAAGTATAATAACAAACCAATTAGAATCAAGAATGCGACTTTTAGGTTCCAGAGCAAAATCTGTATAACACACATAACGAGCAGAAGTACTTATGTATACTGTTCAAATAACAATAGATTATGTTTTGGTACATAAGAGTAAAAATGAGAGCACTAAACATTGTATGTAACAGACTTATCGATATCATCCTTAAATATCAATCCTGGATCCTGAAATTCTGAAACAAACTTAAACTGTTTGGGACTTCATTTTATGGACGAATTAACCAGACAGTACCTCTTAGACTGTTGAACAAAATTTGTTTATCCATATAGCTAAAGAGAATTGTTGCACTAAAGCTGATATCAATTTGCAGTGAAAACTCTAACCCTGAATCCCTAAGCAAAAGCAAGATGAGGACTATTGTATTCTTTTCTACAAACTGTTCATTTACAAAATCTTTTTTCTAATTGGCTAAGGACTGGCTGAAAGTTCATCATAGTTGTTTTAAACTCCTCTCTATATTACCCTTACAGTTATTTGTTTGCTTACTTCACAAGTACTAAGTCAGTTCATTACGGTGATAACTTTGCTTATTGAATAGGGAGAAAGAGAGAGAGGGATAACAGACAATGTAGTTCATTGAAATGGTTCTAATCCGAATCACTGAATAATGCTTATGACCTGATCTTTCTAGCCTTTTGTCGAATATTTCACTTTGGAAAAAAGTCCTTGTATGTAATCCGTGATTTGAGTTCGAGCGAAAAGCATTGAAACTAATATCCAACCAACTATTAAATCTAATGTTGCAAAGCCAGTTCATCAATATTCGCCAGACGACTATGAGACATAAGTTATATCTGAACACTCAACGACGTAACAACTATAAACGGGATTATTACTGTATGTTGTGATGGGGATGATATCATTATGAACCATGTTCATGAACGGATATCCCTTATTTAATCAACATAAAATCTATGTTTAAGGATAACTTGTATTATGTTTCCAAAATCAATGATTGTTCTGCGATATTTCAAATCAGTTTTTATACGTCGTAAACCACTTTAGATATTAGCATTTCAATATTTATACATATATAGTATACGTAAAATAGAAGTTATCATATATATATACGAGAATTCAAAAATATGCAATAAATTAGACATACTTTATGCATATTCTCTAAAGGTTGACCACCTTTTATTAATATACCAGCTAATGCACCAGTCCCGGTAGCTACCATCACTGCTGTTGGAGTGGCTAAGCCAAGAGCACATGGACAAGCTATGGTTAATACAGTGATAGCCATACGAAAAGCATGATCAATAGCTAACAGGGGAATGGAACAACCAGGCTGAAATTTAAAAAATTTAAAGACGCACGTATGAACACAGATACAAATATATGCAAAGAAAAAATGAGGTTCAGAGCTAAGTACAGTTAGTATAGATGAAAGTATATATCATGATTAATGTACCAGAAATATGAGATACTATTGTGATGTTCAATGTATTTTTTATTTGCAAGTCTAATCCAATAATCTATACACAATAACTGTTATGAATAGTTGAAGAATGTATACGGCATAGTTCAAAAATCCATCATACTGGTGCAAATATTTGTACACTTTTTTTTTATCTTCCCTCTATATATGATATTAACGCATACTATTTTATTCAGTGAATTCATTCCATCTTATTGAATCATATATTATCTGTGTATATCATTTTCTTTATTATCATTAATATAACTGATTCGTTGATTTATCGACAATTCATATTGTTGATTTCATTCCATTGTAATGATATGGCTTGATGCAAATCGGTCTGTTCAACACATGAATGCCAGATTTTATATTGATTAATTAGATTGACTAACTAACTGAATCTATTAGACGGATAACATAAGATGTACTACCAAAAGCGATGATACCAAAAAAGCCCATTCTACATCATTCATTTTACTTTTTTATGTCAACAATGGAATAAGCGAACAACAATACTACTATCAACAACAATATAAAATACTCATGAACCCCAGTTTCAGTAAAATGTAAGGCATTTTCTACATATTTTAAGTGTATAGGATTTGTTACAAAAACCGCCAAATGAAGATACTGTAAATGAATTGAAGAATGTATAGTAAGTAGATAAAGATAACAGTTGACAGTGATTGTGATGACATGACCTTATATGGAATTTTACAGTGAAGTAGATAGGAAGAAAATGGAACTAAAACCTATTGATCAAAACTTATGCGTCTAATTAAGGAAGCTACAACCCTAGTGCAGAATGAACGACAATATTAAATGAAAATCAGTTCGTGTGATTTTCAACAAAACCAGAGTCACAAAATGATGTAACTGAGTGGTATCTCGGATCGACCACATGCTGTCATTTTTTATTTATTTGAACACATAAATATTGGTACAAAGGGGTACCAAATATATATGCGCCACCCAAAACAATGAGAATTTGAAGAGAAGAAGGAAGAAAAAAGAGAGGTGTGGAGCGTTAAAAAAAAGAACAGTAACGAACAGATTAGTGTAAGGTAGTGTAATAATAATAATGATGGGGGAAACAGAAACGTACAATCAGAAGAGATCTTTCAGTTAAGGAAGATACAACCACTTTTTATGGAGTAAAAGAAGGTTACAGCAGGATCGCCACTGGCTCCTATTCTGAACCATATCTGATAACGTCTCTAGCCACTGTGTTGCACCATCTCTCGGACCCCAGCCATGGAGTCGTGAAGGCCCAACACAGGCCAACCCTTTGCAGCTTTCTTTCATGCCACGAAATCATTTCATACACTGACCACCATGCTGTCATACGACCACATAATTAGTATGACATGCAAATATTAATCGGCTATTATTAATAGGTGAATTGGTTAACTAGCCAAGGTCAGAAGTCTCATCTCCCTACCCGGATCAGTTTAACAGCTTATTTAAACACGTGATCTGCGTACATAATCGAATACTGACAAAATGTGTATGTTCTCTACCTTTATAGGTCATATTTAATAGGAATAATCTAATGCAAATAGAACCGCTAGGAAGTATATTTTCCCATTTATAAATAGATAAACACATTTTTTAGGCCAGAGATCGACCCAAAGTCAAACGAACGTTGTATATCCATGCTGTTATCCAATCGTGAAGATTTAACGGAGAAAACACAGGAAATTTGGTCGAATTCATTGCTGTAAGTTCCATTTCAACTGAAAGCTATAAAAGTAAATGAGCACATGCCAACTGTATCTATATTTCTTTCGACAGCGACAATGAATAATTACAATGGTCGAAAAAGGTAAAATCTGGTTTAAAAAAAACCTCGAGCAATAGACATTTACAGAAAATGGACAACAACTTACTTCATAGCCTTTTATGGTTGTCGGTACCAAGAAGCCTAAAGTGATCCATAAAATAAAAACTGTCAATGACACTAAACAAATAAATGGAACAAAATAACCAGCAATCTTGTCTGCAAGCTGTTGTACTGGTGCCTACAATGAAAGGTAAACAGATAGAGGAAATTTATATACCTATTACAATTGATTTGTATAAATCAGTATGATCAAAAACCACATAGGTTTACTAGAAGAGTGACGCGCTTGTCATATTTTAAATTCTGACTACTAATTTAACCAAATTCTGAAGACGATTTGATTAAATCCGTCATTTACTGGGTTACGAACTAAAAGATGTGTTGACTTAATGATATTCTCTCATAAATGGATTATAAAAGTACACGAAGAGTTTCGTATTTTTCTGAGGACAAATATCTCGATTATAATGTGTTCTATCACAGGCCAGAATTATCCACTGAAGTTGAAACTTAGTCACGATTTTAGATAGTCCATATTATCAACTGCTCTGGTGTTTTATCACGTCCCCTATTATAAGTACAAATGACTACTGAATAGTTTCTAAATACAAATAACGTTTTCGGAAAATTAATAGATACACTAATCAGCCACTGATAAGTAACTACTAACATCATGTTGCCTAGTGTCACCTGGTGACTATCTACTTCCGTAGAATAAGTTTGCTGTCGTTCAGAACAGGGTAGAAACCAAATAACCTCCATAAATTCATGTGAACCGATTGATGGGTGAAATTTGTTATCTAATAAAATTCTAATGCAACTCAATAACCAAATACATATCTGTACATTGAGTTCGAATACATATTTTGTATGGAAGTTAACAACACTGTTCAATTACCCCAATCGGAGTGAAACACCCTTAAAGATGCAAATGCTCATTGGAAGTTGATAAAAAAGTAATTAATAAAATGAATAATGTAAACTAAATATGGGAAAAAAAGGTCACGGAAACCCGTAAACTAAACTATTACCAAATACAAACAAAACTTTTACATAAAAAATTAGTATTTCCTAATCATGAACAAACAAATAAAAGTGGTCACTTTTTTCGCAAGATAATCTAACAAAAAACCAACTTTCGAAGTTTGTGCCTCTTCAACAAGACGAACGATTTGAGATAAGGCTGAATCCTCACCGACATGAGTTGCTTTGGCCCATACAATACTAGCTAGATTGATAGAACCACCAATCAAATCTGATCCTATATACACATACAGAAAAAAAGTTATCAATATGATTCAGATAAACTGTATTAAACTGATATGCAAAACGTTCTTAAGACGATTGTCACAGATAACTGCAACAGTTCAATTTGTCCTCATTTACGACCACAGCTAACATCAAGGTGATAATATTTAAGTTATATACATTGGACTAAAGATAACTTTGTTTCTATATTTGTCCATATGAACAACCATGATTGAATTGGGTTCGAGTTTCAATGTGAACATCAAAAGTAAGATACAATTACATACAGTAAAGGAGTTATGAATAGAACGTAATGGACTGTTAGGAGTTTGCACAATTACGGTTCATTCCACACACCACTATAAATAATAAGTTGTTACGAATTTACTAACCCTCCTTCCGTTGACTAAAAATTAGACTAAATCCATAATTTCTAGACTACATGGAAGAATTCGAGACTTAACTGATGGTAAAATTACTCTCACTTTTGATATGAATTTCATCTTTGAAAAAAATATAATAAATAATAATTACATTTACCACCGTGAAGTTTGAACAAACCAGTGTACAAATAATGAGAGTTAGGAAATCAGGTAGCTTGATTACCAGATCAAGCGAATAGGTAATACATATTTTATATTAGCGATTACCACTATTTTGAAATAGAGACGGTTCTATAACAACATACAATGAGAGGAGATCATTTGTTTGGTCGTGAATAATTATTTTTTAATGAGAACAAATTAGGTATTTAACTAATAAACTAAGAAAAAAAGTTAAGCAAATATTAGTGAACAATATTTCTTTGCTTTTTTTATCATTCAGTGATACTTTAGAATGTAGTATAGATTCATTTTAGTTGGTTTTATGTACCACCTTTCTTCTACATAAGGGGCTAATGATATTAATTAGCTCAGGAAAGCCAAAGTAGAATGAAGTGATATTGGAAACATGCATCTCAAACTATTATTCCTTTAGAAGTTGTGCTAGTACACTGTGTGTATGTGTATATTTCAAATAGTTATGCATCAAGTAAATGAAAATGATGAAATATAGTAAAATTTGAAACAAAAAACTATCATACTAAATTTACTTTATAATATCAACACTCGTTGTAAGAGTTAGTATTTTCCTGTTGTTGATGTGAGTAATTATCAATAATTCAGTTTTTGTCAATTAGTTATAAGCATTTAGTAAAGTTAGATTACGGCTAGAAGTGGAGTCTAGGACGTCTACTTCGTTCAATTTGGGAAAGATCAGCTAGATGCAGCACCGTTCGAGTACTAACGTGTTCTCGCCAAGAACTGACCCCATTACATATCACTTCAGACGCTAACGCGTTTCCCCTTTAAGCTACTCAATCGAATTGGAAATTCAGAAGCAGATTGATCGTACTTTAACTCTCTCAGTAAAACGTTATCACAAGCTAAATGTGTTGAATTCCACCATCACTTATTAAACCATCAGAATCACCTACCGAAAAGTCGATATATTTATACAACACATTTAAAATAAAAATGACTTCGTATTATAATTAATCCTTTTTCCTTTTTGTACACACAGACAAACAGATAATACGTAAATTAATAACTAAGGAATATGAAAATAATCGAGTGAAGAAACCACAAAACGAGAAAACAGTGCGAAGATGTGACAAAGCAAATCTAAACCCATACTAAGTGAAAAAAAATAACCAATAACTATAATCAATATCATGCTAGTGTAATAATAATTATTATAACTGAGTGATTTTCAGATCACTTGGTTAATGATCAAAAAGATTGAAACAACAAATTAACTGAAGTTGGGTAGAGAGTTTCATGCTATATGGGGGCCATGCTGAGGTGCTCACTGTTTAAGAGCGTCAAACTAAGGTACCGCGCTACAGCCTTGTTGAGATCAAATAGTTCACGAATAGAAAACCATCCTTGACAAATGTATTAAGTTTGCGGTAATATATATATAAGCCCAAATCAGATAGTTGGGTGAGAAAACCACATTTTTAACCAACAGCGTATATATTTCCTTTGAAGGTGAAGCTAAAGCTTAATTAAAAGCAAGCGCCGCCAGCATCTCTCATTTATCATTTCACGTATGACTAGTTGGCATAGAGTATCAAAATATTACTTTCCAAATAATTAATTGTCTTTTTCTATTTAATGAATAAGTAAACGAGAAATATCCATAGACTGAAATGATTAAGAAATATACATCACACACCATGACTAGCAATAGCAAGTCAATTCCTACGTACGTAATGCAAAAAATTTGAGTTATCCATTTGTTATTATTAAGGACAAAACACTTTAGAAATATTAGAAATTTCCATTGTGTAAATCAAAAATGCACACATGAGCAAACAATATCAATTTCGATCATATAGTTATCAGAAAATGTTTAAGAAATCAAGGGAATTTATAAATCGGTGATAAAAGTGAAAAGGAATACAGTAAAACTTCGTAGTAAGATGATGAATGTATCAATAGTGGTATGAACAATAACAGTTATTTATCGTACACTTTTTGATTTTTCCAATGGGGTCCAATCTTGTCTCTTAGATATGAAGGAAGTTATATGGATTAGAGTTAACAACCTTAGTTCATATATACATAAAAGAAGTGTGTACTACATTTGTACATTTCTTGACTAGAGAAGACCTAAATCTGACCATTTTATTCATTTATATTCAATCCTTTTATACTTTTTTTAGCTACGTATATGCGTAAACTGATTATTTACACAGTCTCGTATTATGTACACTAACGATCACTATTGTAAACTGTCAATTGAATTCACATCAAAGATATATGAACGAAAAATACTCTTTCTAATGAATCCACCTACTCAGGTTGGACAGTTATAAATCTGAATTATCATTATTACTTTAACAAGTTTATTTTTTCATTTTTTGAAGTATTTATTCAATCTGTTATAAATCTTATCACTATTGAACATACATTTATCATCGTCTTACATTGTCATAATTTGTAATTTACATTTATTATGATGAATTATGTAATCCTTTTTCATCCTTATCATTAATTCACAAAATGACTTGCTTGATTTTGGATTTATCACTTATATGTATACATGTGGATATCGATATTGCCATATACTAGAATAAAGCTTGATAACAATCTAATCGGAAAAATTAAACAATATTATCAACCTATACGTGCTGTTTTAACAGTAAACCCAAATGATCAGTGCTAATTAGATGATCTACGTCTGAAACTGTCATTGCTTTCAAATTCTGAAGAAAAAAAACATCAAAAATCCCCCAAATCAAATGACAATTAATAAAGCGATCCCATCTCCTCATGCACACACACATACATAAATGCAAACGAAGAAAAGGAAAACAAAGACCAATGAAACATACAAAGGAAATAAACATATTTAAAAGACAAACCACCAGATAAACAAATGTTACAACATACTTATATGTCTAGTTGAATGAATCTTTCCGATGAATAAACAGATAATGATGTACAGAAATTAAAAAAAAACGAAATTTACATATAAAAGTATGCATTATGCATTTATATATACAACATTTATATTCATGAATGAGACGGGGAACGTAAATAACAGTCGGGTATTGGGAATAAATCATCATAGAAGTGCATGGAAAACAAACCAGAAGACAGAAAATCTCATCTATATTACCATTAAATATTTTATTTTTTCTTTATTTTGAGAACATTTGACTCAAAATCTTACATAAAACAGAATTACTGATTACATACTACATTAAATCAATTTATCAAATCAACAAACCTGGTTTTTTAACGACTGGCATACTTTCTCCAGTAATCAACGACTCATCACATGATGTGGATCCGATTAAAATGACAGAATCAACAGGAACTTTTTCACCCGGAAGAATCTTTTTACATAAATATTAGATAAAAATAAAAACAAAATGTGTGGTGAAATTATGTTAGAAAAAAAATTTCACGGGATAATAATAATTTCTCCTACGGAAACGTTTTTCAATCGGCATTAATAATGTAGATGGAAAACGTTTTAATTATTGAGTCAAAGTATCAATTTATATTCTACTCTCTAGCTGGGTATCATATCAGTCAGCTACAACGTAGGACCAGGCACAAATATGCATGTGATTGAACTAAGATGAATGTCAATGAAATTGTCATATAAAGATATATATCAATCAAATACATGATCCATTGTTGTAATGAAACTATAGATTGTCTCACTATATTTTTAACAACTTTTATCTTTAAGTAGTTTTCTGTAATACAAACGACACAATATTCAGATCATAAATAAATGGAATGAGATTGACCTTATATACTGGATGAACTTGTTGGTTTGTAACGATGAATTTTAATACTTTTTTTCAAAAAAGATTTAAACGTTTTGTCAGGATTTTAATCACGAAAGAAGTAGAATATGGCACTGGAACAACTGATATATTTTTTTAAGGAAAGATAACTGATAAATTATACTCATTTAAATATTGATATTGCCAGTTTGGATGCAATTAGATGATTTGGACTTCGTAGATGAACTGACCCTTCCATACACATGAACAAATGCAGATGAAAACAACTAGTGTAGTAACAGCCTCGACATCAGTACGCCTCAACATACATAGGAGATAAGGCAAGATCTCCATATACAACAAAGAGAACATAAATCCAATCACGTTCGATGAAGAAGCTCTGGAAGAGGTGAAAACTTTCAAGTGTCTGGGCAGCAACATCAATGAAGAAGGAGGATCTTATACAGACGCAAATTTGTGGGTTGGTAAAGCAAGAGCCGCATTCATACAGTTGAAGATCATAAGGAACTCAATGCAACTGTCAGCCAATGTCGAAGTCAATCTTCAATACGAACGTAAAGACAGTTCTAAAGTACGGAGCTGAAACATCGAGAACTACCACAGCCATCATCAAAATCGTACAATTATTTGTGAACAATTGTCTACAGATGCATATGTTTGTTTTTACCTAACAACTCATCCAAGAACGTTGTGATATATGAACTCGGTAGATCTTTAGGGAGAGGGACCAGATTCCGGAAATAAACGTAAACACATTTGACCGGTCTAGATTGTTGATCGTACCGGCTAATAAAAAGGACAGAAATACTGTGACGATAATCACATTGAAACCTGTTTGACTAACATAGTATCTGAAGCTTATCTGGAGCTTAGGAACAACAAAATAGAGACGAGGCGGTTTCTAGATTTAGATGCATTGGTGATGTCATTTTATGTATACATAGCTGAGAAAATATCATGTCACTGAAGTAATGAGAACACGCCTCACTAGAATTATAGTTATCAAGGTCATAATTTAAAATACATCGGACCACCATCCGTAAAGATGATCAGTGAGACTAGTTAAGCAGTATCACCCGACCGTAGCTGCTACCTTGACGCGGTGTTCGCGTTTGCCTATCGTGATGACCCAACCGAGCTATATTGGCTGGAACATATGTTCCTGTAGGTTCTACCATGCCAGGCAGCTCGATTGGAGAACGGTAAGACTAAAAGCATCAACTCAAGGTCTGAGGACGAAGTCGTTCTGCTGACTGTAGAGGGTTGTGACAGCAGTAAGGTGTTTCCCTCGGACAACCAGCGACTGCAGCGATGCTTCCTTCTCATAAGGAAGGAAGGGGTTAGAAAGAGTCGACCCTAAAAATGTCACACCTCACCTTACCTCACAGATTTCCGTCTCCGGCGGTAAGGCCCTTTGAAGAACGGGACTAACAGGTCAGAAATATCCCACAAAAAGGCCGTATACGACCGGCCACAAACAGTTGTCCCTTGGGCTCTGCGGTCACGCTCCCAGGTCGTCAAGACCAACACTAATCCAATTTCCTTTTCAGGTTCCTCAAGAAATACCCTTCCACGGTGTGGGCAGCCAGGAAGTGACATCAGCCCTCATACCCGTAACAGCACACGAGACCAAGTTGGTCACATTCAAATCCTTCCTACACCTCTTAATACCACTCTTATCTCCCCAACTAACCCTTCTCACGTCCCTTTATCACCTCGCACCGCTAGGGCAAACGATTCGAGTACGCGGAACGTTATTCCTGGTCTCCTGAAACCACGCTCTAAACTACACGTAGGAGCTTTTAACGTCCGAACACTGTGCCAAATAGGACAACAGGCTTCCTTAACTAGGACTTTAGAATCTCGCGCCATCGATGTGTGCTGCGTCTCCGAAACGCGCATACAGGATCCGAGTAGCGTCATTCATTTGACCTCACCATGTCAAAATAAAGAACCAACTCGATTCACACTTCGTGTATCTGGAAGCCCTGATGCTGCTTCTCGCGGCCTCGCTGGCGTAGGTATAGCATTGAGTCCTAGGTCTGAACTAGCTCTCTTAGACTGGATCCCAGTAGTCAGTCATTTGCGCGCTGTCCAACTAAACGGAACAGTAAGGACTCGGAAAGATGGGGACACTCGTCGTTGCCTCTTCGTCGTCTCTACTTACTTTCCCATTGACTACAGCTCAGATGATGTCAAAGATGAGTTTTACAGAAAGCTCCCCAACATTCTCCAAAACGTTAGGCGCTCTGATGTAGTAATAGTGGCTAGTGACTAATGCACAAGTAAGTAAATTAATTAGAAAGGAAAGACATATGGGTGGATCTTATGGTGTCGTGGCTCAAAGAACAGATAATGGCGACCGTCTGTCGCAGCTGTGCTCAGATAACCACCTCTTTCTTGCAAACACTAACTTTAAGCATAAGGAAAAACATCTTTTAACATGGCGATCCCCGAATTCGTCCCGACGTTGAACCCAAATAGATCACATCGCTATCAGCCACCAATGGAGGGGCTCGATAGAAGACTGTCGCTCATTCTGGAGCATATGCTCAGATTCAGACCATGCTATAGTACGAGCGCGTATTTTCCTACGTCTTACTGGACGTAGGAAAGACGCTGCAAGGAAACCTCTTAGGACCTTACTTAATGATAGTTAAGCTAAGAGTATATTTCAGGAACAACTAGAAAAACAGTTAGGCAGCCATGCTGGTGATGCCCACCCCGATGCAGCATGGAATGATATCCGAAAAACTGTGGAAACAACAGTGATATCTGCTAGTACAGTAAACCACAATGTCAGAGGGAAACACTGGATCTCAGCAGCATCTACCGCACTGATAGACGCTCGAAAACTCATTCCATCTGGCTCTTAACATAACGAAGAGTGGAGTCAGCTTAAGCGCAAGCTGACAAGAAGTCTACGCAATGATCGTGAACAGTGGTGGGTAGCGAAAGCAAGAGAGATGGAAAAGGCAGCGGCAATAGGTAATAGCAGACAATTGTTCAGACTTGTTAAGGAAACCGGCTGTTAGCGAAACAATCTCAGAGAAAGATGGACATATTATTCATTCTCAATCCTGGAGATTGGATCGATGGCAGAACACTTTAGGGATCAGTTCAACTGGCCTTCAGCCACACTTCGGTTTCCCACGATCTCCAGTCAACCTGAATGGCAAGTTAATGTAGGTCCTCCATCTCTTTACGAAGTTGATAAAACTATAGGAAATCTGAAGCGATGGAGAGCAGCATGCCCTGACAGGTTTACCCATGAGATTTTTAGGGAGGGCGGTCTAGTATTAGCAGCGAGATTAACTGAGGTCTTAGGTAGAATTTGGGAACTGGACGTAATCCCATCTGACTGGTCTCAATCACTGACCAATCACAGGGGAATCAGTTTGACTAATATAGCGTCTAAAATATTAGCTTCAATAATACTTCGACGCCTAACTAAAGCTCGTGAAGAGCAGACCAGAGAAAATCAGGCTGGTTTTCGACCTGGACGTGGTTGTATAGATCAGATATTCACACTACGTCAGGTTCTAGAACACAGACACAGGTTCAGACGCCCCACAATGGTAGTATTTCTCGACCTTAAAGTAGCATTCGACTCTGTCGATCGTAAGGTTCTATGGCAGTGTTTGTCACTGAAAGGAGTACCAAAGAAGTACATTAACCTTATAAAGGCTCTCTACTCGAACACAACTGATAGAGTGAGAGCTTATGGCGAACTGTCATCAGAATTGATTACCTCAAGTGGTGTTCGTCAGGGCTGTCCACTCTCCTCATTCTTGTTTAACTTTGTCATTGACGTACTTTTAGAGATAACACTCTCCTCATCTAAATTTTCAGGGGTTGAACTTCTACCGGGAGGTTCACTTGTTGACTTGGAATTTCCCGACGACGTAGTTCTATTTGGTGAAGACGCTGACAAAATGCAGAGTCTTCTGACCACTCTAAGCAACAATGCAAGCATGTTCGGGATGCGATTCTTTCCCTCGAAATGCAAAATGTTGCTTCAGGATTGGGTTGCATTGACACCCAAACTAATGATAGGGAGTGAAGTAATTGAGCGTGTCGATCGCCTCACTTATCTTGGAAGTCTCATCAGCCCTTGTGGTCTTTTGTGTGACGAAATCTCAGCACGGATACAGAAGGCTCGACTAGCTTTTGCCAATTTGCGTCATTTATGGCGTAGATGAGATATCCGTCTATGAACCAAAGGACGTGTTTACTGCGCAGCAGTTCGTTCCGTCCTACTTCATGGCAGTGAAACATGGCCGGTAAAAGTAGAGGATATTTGTAGGTTACTAGTATTCGATCATAGGTGTCTTCGAAACATTGCTCGTATATCCTGGGACCATCGAGTAAGAAGTGCAGTTGTTAGGAAACGGGTACTAGGTAAGGATGGCAAATCAATTGAGTGCATCCACTCTTTGCGTTCTCCCAAATTCTAATCTTCTGAATTCTTCATGTCTCTTTTTTCCCTCTTTCCAAATTTTTTTTCAATTGTATTATACTCCTTGAATAACATCTTCAAGCACTAATGTTTCCGATTACTGTTTATACTCTTACTACTTCTACCACTACGGGATTTGACTCGACAACTGCATCTCTGTGCTAGTGTGGTATGGCAACTCAAACTGATGGACGTACGTACGAAGTTCCACGTTGTTACTGACTGGCCTTTCACAATCTCTAATAACAGTAAAAGAGAAGTTTGATAGAGTGAGCTAATAAGACATCCGTGAAGTTTTAAGCACAGGGGATTTGTCGATAAATAGCTTGCACTTATAGGGAATGAGACATTTAGTATTGGTGGCTTTACTACCAAAGTGACAGGCATAGATACGAATCAACGTGCATACGCTCTCAATTCGATTTAGTGAATAAATTTCCTTCTCATCCTCACCATTTTCACTCGAGTAGCCACATGGGCTTCCATAGCAGTATCGAAATCGAACACCATACAGCACATCACAAGGTTACATATAATAAAAGCTGAATCCTCATTTTCATATATATATATTTATCACATTTGATTACCAGACTTTTCATGATAAAAGAATGAATGCAAAACAGACACATTATAATTACCTTGATAATATCGTTTTGATGAACCAATTCAATTGGGATACGTTTTTCAATCCCACTAGCAAATAAATTTGTCGGTAAATTTTTTGTTTGCTGTTGTAAGGTATCTTCTAATTTCTGTTTTTCTGTCGGTGATAAGTCAATAAGAGTAGCTTCTTTAGCATGTAAGGAGAGTAATTTAGTAAGCGCTTCGGATGTTTTACCCTAATAATTATTAAATAATAATAAGTATTAAACATTGAAAAGATAATATTAGGCGATGAATATTAAAGAAAAATCGTAAATCTCAAAAAATACTATTGGCATGATCTGTCAGTCCGATTTAATGGACTAATAGTGGAGACTCTCTTAATATCTAACTTTTCTACTAATGCGAGAGACAGAGATCACGAGGTGTTGGAAAATGCATCTTCAAAAAATCAAACGAATATGTAGAGATTATGCATATATTTATGTGACGGTAAAGTAGTTTAAATTGAGATATATGAGAGGTGATGATTTAAGCCAAATGAACGACCTCAATCCTTGTCCTGTACACCGAATAGTGGGAAATCAGTGGCTTCTAGCTTTTTTTTGGTTTTTATAACATAATCTGTGATTTTTGACTATAAATACGTTTGCGACGTATGCCAATATGAGCCATCTGTAGTACCCTGGTGACGCTAGTATAGTTGTAAAAGGTCGGATCTACAACGCGTCGGTGAGATCACTTTTGCTCTATGCTTGTGGAAGCTGACATCTCCGAGTTGAGGATGTCAAACGATTCTCTGCGTTTGATTATCGTTATCTTTGACTGATTGTTAACATCCAGTGGCGACACCATGTTAGTAATGCAGAGGATCGGCAATGGGTGTTTGGGCAGAGGTGATAATTCAGTTGGTGTCACTATCTTGAAACATCGACTTTGGCGGCTTGGACATGACCTACGAATGTCACCCAAGAGAATTGCACGTCGTGTATTGTGTCCCGACTCTGAGACTAGTTGGAAAAAGCGGAGAGGTGGTCAGTGTATGATATGACGTCGTGGTACGAGAGGAAGCAGTACAGTGATGGGTTCTATGGGTCCTTCACGACTCCCTGGTTAAGGTTCTAGAGATAGTCCCACACCGTGGCTTAAGAAATTATAAGAAATGGCTCAGAAAAGAAACCAGTGGCGATCCTGCTGTGAATTTTTTTTACTCGTTACATAAAAGTGAATGTAACCTCTTTAACTGACCGCATTCTTTCTGGTTGTATTTTTCCTAACTGGACTGTTTCTCCTATTATTTTATTATTACTGTTTCACTTTCACACACTAATTTCTATTGATTATGGTTCCTTTTCATTATGCTCACTTTACTTTTCCTACTTCTTCATAAACTTGGTGAACTCTTGTACCAATGTTTATATGTTCAAATAAAGAAATATGGGCTCAACACAACAGAAAGCAAAGATTTTTTATCATATGAATATGAGTGATCTTGGATTTTTAAAAACTCAAAAACGATTTTACGCCTAATGAACATTTACATGTTTGATCAACTAGATCAACCGACAAGATCCTTTTCATGTCGAATTCTAGAATTTTTTGAAAAGAGGCCGGCTGTTTTAATATATTTTAAGCATAATTCATAAATCTTATGAGTGCTTTCATTTAGTTAAACACATAAACGTTGATACAAGGAGGAACCGAATATATATGAGCCACACTTCATCATTCAATTTGTGTGAGGACTGGAGTATTGCCTGGGTGGTCAAACCGAAGCAGGTGGATTTTTTAGGGGATTTTTAAGGATGGTTGTTAAGACTTTTAACCTACTACCATAACTTTATGTTTCAATCTCGAATCTACATCTATGAACTTTAGTTAAATGGTAGCATGACTATTCTCTTACACACACATACAGTATAGTTCAAAGCTGAGTTAATGAACAAATAAGCTTGATAAATGAGTTAAGCTTGTGACTAACCCTACTATGGCAGATTTAAAAGAAAACCTACACATATTGAAGTATAGTAAAAGCATGTCAAGATTGATAGATAGATAGATAACTCAAAAAGTTGACAAATGTACTCCGACAAAACGATAATAATTTTTTTTAATGCACATTTATGGTTCAAAAAATTTGATTAAAATGAATAAATCATACAGGTAAAAAAAGGAAGCAATGTTTTACCTTCGCAATATGCTCTAACCAACGACCTAATGAAACAAACACGAGTAACATTGGTGATGTTTCAAATACAGTACGTGGACTATGCTGCCAGCGATTCAATATTGCAATTAATAAAATAACGACAGAATATAAATATGAAATCGTTGTAGCTATTACAATTAAAACATCCATATTTGCTATACCATGTGTTAATGATTTGTATGCATGAATATAAAAATAGCGACCACCAAATATCTGGAGTAAAAAACGAAATAGAAAAAGATAATATAATAATACCACCAGTAATGACCATGCGAAATCACTTAGTCGAATAAGGCATCTAAAATTATTATACTCATTTAGAGATGTAATGGTAAAAAGTTTAACTTTGTATTGAGTTGTAGATGAGTACGACTGTGATAAAACACTTATCAAATGTTTCATGGTTTAAAATGAATCCTGAGCTGAAGACAGATAAAATGTGATGAAAACTATCTTTAAAATGAACAAGCTTCAAAAACTTCATATCTGAATATCAAGAAATACAATGATGTGAACGAAGATAGGGTTATCCGTCAGCTTCAATGTTCAATAAATATGATGTGAATTCAACAATTTCACAGTCAGTTTTTGATTTATTTACTGGATGACTGAAACATATTAGAATGTAATTTTCATTAAAAATTTTGTTCCTAAGTCTAACTTTCATTATATTTGCATTTATCATTCAGCATAATGGGCTGCGCTACATTGAACTTATTTATGACCAAGAGTTGAAATAAAGTCCTTAGTGAAAACGCCACTATAAAATATCCATCACTTACTCATTCAATAAACAAAATAAAATAATGATAGAAATCGGTGAATACAACACATTTGTTGAGAAGTGAAAACATTAATGTAAAATTCTGCTTTAATGAATAGTATAACCGTTTTAAAATGGTCGCGATTAAAATTGAATAATTAAACGTTAACTAATCATTGTAGATCAGAGAGATAGAGAGAAAAAAAAACATTGACACAGTTCACTGTCTTATTACAATTTTACATATATATCACTGATCACTAGCATTACAATTTGATTAAGTAAATTAAACATTGGAATACAACTAGATTATTCATTGATGAAGAGAAAATAAACACTGACTACATAGAGAAATGGATAATCGAAATAAATCAGGGAATAATTCGTGAAAAATATTTTTTTATAAATTACAATTTAACCTGATTATTCATGGAAATAAAATGAAACAATGTGATTTATAGTTTCCGTGGAATAGGTCAACGTAAAATAAATATATTGATACAGCAAGTTAAGTCTGTTTACATTATTATTATTATTATTATTATTATTATTATTATTATTATTATTATTATTATTATATTGAATAAAGAACAGATACAAGTATTAAACAACATCTGACCTAATGCATAAATTGTATATCGTCAATTTAAGCTGCTATAAATTACACAGAGAAAAGAACCAGTAACCAAAATACATAAAAACAGAATTATGAAATTGACAAAGGGTGAACGACCAGACAAATAAAGTCAATACATTGTCCTTTTTCTATTTAATTTATACAATTTAAGTACTCCAACAAGCACGAAATTTGTTATTTTAATTGAACTGTTAGTAATTGAAATCAATGAGTGTAAGGAATATGTAATATATTCCAAGCACATTAGGTAAAGTTATGACCTATGACCAGTTTAGACGCTTCAATTTAAATCAATTGGTTATATAGTTCGAATCAATCGATCAGCTTAACTAGTACAGAGTAGGTTCAAACTGCGTTCTATCTATACGAATATTCGTCACGATTAAAACGAATAGTTTGACAGAAATTGGGCGCCGAGTATAGAGAAGACATTTTAGGTGAAAATTATATTTTAAATAATCTCAGCGATTGAAATTTAAATAATTCCAACGTTTCGTCCAACTAACTTGTCTGGACTTCTTCAGGATAAAAATCAAAATCATCTAAGAAATATATAACGTTTTAACAACCAAATCAAGACAATTTAGTTGAACGAAACATTGGAATTATTTGGATTTCAATCTCTGAGATTATTTCAAATATAATTTTCACATAAAATGAGTTCTATCTATTTTGGTCTTGATGGCAAGATAAAATCGTCACTGATCACAAATAAAGTATAACTTAATTTCGGATACACAAAGCTAGATTCAGTTACTGAGCTACATATACCTTATAAGAAAATCTACGTTGTTATCGACTACACGTTTTTTTAAGAATATAAACAACTTAACAACCACGTCCCTCAAACAACTACTAAATGGTAGTAAGTGATCGTATAAGTCTAATTTATTTTATTCTTATTCTATGTACTATAAGAAATCACCGTTACTCCATCTATACGATAAATTCAATCAGTGTGAGTAATGATCAAATACGCGTAAAACTGATCAATCGAAATAAGAGGGATTTTAAGGAATAAATATTTATTGAAGTCACGAACCGTTCAATGTTAGACCACTACTGAAAACTTGAAAGCATAGGACGGTAGTTTCGATTTGGAGTAGGATTCGTCAACAATACAAACCCATGTGGAACTAGAACCCAGGACCTAACGTCTAGACCATTGAGTAGATGCTCATTTAACGTTTTTGAGGTTCAGCTTCAGTCATTCTATAGTCTTCGGTGAGTAACTGTATCACATCCAACATGGTTTGACTTCACTATTCGCGGTCTCTCACTAGATCTCCGGGAATTTCCTCTCGAAGCCAGTGGCCAGCGAGCAAATGATAACTATCGATAAGAGTTTCCAAAGATTGCTGAATTATATTGAAATCATGAAATCATAACAGCTCAGTAGTCTAACCCAATGATATTAGGTTCACTTTCCGCCAGTAAAACGTGGATTTATCATTGTTAAGAAGCACCACATTAAAATGAGATGGTCATCCAATGTTTCCAGGCTTCAATACTGGTCTAATTTAGATCGGTTCACGATTTCAATAAAGTTTCGCAATCTGCGCAACCCAATAATGTTCCTATCCTGAATTCGTTGTTCGTGGACTATATGAATATACACGTTCAAGGTTAAGAAATGATACAAACATACAGAACCATGATATTATACTATTTTTTATACAATGCACCGTGTAAGGTTTTGAACAAATGTCTATTACCAACTAGCTGCTGGTGTTTGAAATGTAGTCACCGAATAGTTAAAGTTTTCAGAAGCTAATTATTATTTCACAATGACAAATCTCAAACAAAATTTAAAAAAGATTGAAGGTCCTGGGTTTGATTTCCATATGCAGAGTCGTGGATGTACATTATCGAGGAGCCCCACAATAGAAAAAAAGGCTGTCAGGCACATCCAAATCTCAATGGTTGTCAAACCTAAATCAGTTCAACAATCTCCCCAATTCCATACCGTAAACTAAAAGCATTAAATAAATCATAAAGTGGGAGCTATTGTTATGTAGATATGTTGCAGAGAATTGCCAAATATAAATATAAAACTTTCATTTAGCCTTTGGACTAATTAGAATCTAACGGTACTGTACACGTTACATATGGTATTGTGAGTGTGTGTGAACAGATGAAAAGCCAAAAAGCAATTGATTAGGTTTCTCTTTTCTCAAAGAAGTAAACTAAAACTAACGTTAGCAGTGAATGGTGAAGGTTACACTCATTAAACTATGCAAAATCGTTAAGGATCAGCTTACTGATATTACGAACGATGCTGACTAAGATTATTTAGTCGATATTAAAGTAATTAAAGCTGTTCATAAAATCTATCTCTATACTGCTAATCGTCACATGTTAACATTATAGATTAGAATTCTGTGATTGATTATGTCATGAATGACCACCACCATTATCACTGTGAAGTGAATACGTAAACAGGTTAGGAATGAAACAATAGCTTTCTAAGCATTTTAATTATCACTAAATATATTTAAAACATTACTAATACATTAGTAAAAACAATGAATGTATACAGTTCAGGTGATATACAAAAGATTTTACGCAACAGGGTTAAAGATGTATATATAACTGTAGTAATCTAGAAGTGTTGCATTTTATTTTATAACTTGAATTCTTACTTTTAGTGCGAGGATAACCATTTTTTCCTAATGCTCAATAAAAGTGTAATATCTAGCATTTCCGAGCTTTTTTCCTGTTTGCCTAGGGAGTGAATTCTGAATATGAAGGCGTAATTTTTATCGGTGATCTCATTTCAATCAGTTAAATCTATCTACATGTATTTCTTATGAACCTCCCAGTGTAACGCATTCCAACTTACCAGATGAGAGAAGTAAACAAAATGAAAGAGGTTGAAATGGTATGCTCAGTGAAAATTACAGTCTTGTAAACACCAGTCACTCACTAACTGAACAGGAAAGCGTCTGAGAATGCTCTATTGTACACATTTATTAAGTAGTGAAAAAATAGGTGCGCTACACAGTCATAGGTCACTAACCTATAGCTTAATTTTATACCCAAGAGGTTCACTCATGAGGTGATAACGCACAACAATTGCTATGACCTTTGCTTTTCTCTTATTAGATGTTTCATCCCTTAATATCATCATTTGTTTTGTATTTTAAGAGATCACTGACAGAAAATTAGTAGTAGTGCGGTGTGTGTTATTGATGTCGACAGATATAAGTATTATGCACCACCACCTGAAAGTGGAATGCCTAGTAGCAAAAGGCTGAGAATATCGAAGAGAAGAAAAAGCGAACAGAGAGAGATTGATATGGAAACAAAGAAACAACAAAGTCTGAGAAAATTGATGGATATTTTGCAAATGGAGTATTTACTATATGGTTCCCAGATTCAACCAATATATTCTATAATGTTTTATTAAAATACATCTAGTTGTCCCCCACTGATGTTCTCGTTTACCACAGTAGTATCATATGTTTTTATAGAGACAGTGAAATACTGTTTTACGAAATACTAGTCCATTATTTCTTATCATGAATCTAAGGTAAATATGATTGAAGTGCCTATGGTTGTATACCATTAAAATATGCTAGGATTCTGTAAAAAAAAAATTGTAGATTTAAGATTTGATCGTTTACTGTTCAACTGAGAAATACTACGAGATTTAATGAAATGTATAGGCATCTATGTTGTACACACTTAATCGAGATATAGGCGTTGTTTAAAATGAGCTTAAGAAATTTCATTCAGTATCTACAAAATAAGCTGGAAAAAAGAATGAATTTTAATAAGAGATAAATATGATTATTTTTCTAGATGTACTCATAATCTTTAAAAGACGACTTAATATATCACATAAAGAGATTAATAAATCGATACCTTCAATCAAGAAAATATAAAATTGTAGAGAAATGAACATTTCTCATTTATTTATTGATTAGAATTAGTGAGTTAGTTACTAATTATTTTTAATGTATACAAGTTTTACTTTACTTTCAGATACATGTTTATAATAATAATAATGGTCATGGCATTTATACAATCTCGAAGAAACCTTTGGTACTTTGAGATTTCGAGCCCTTTAGGTCAGCATCGCATTAAGAGCCACCTAAGTTAACCTATTGCAATCATCAGTGATCTCCGTTATGTTTAGGTTTTTCTGACGACTTGATTCAAATATGTAAAATGAAGCTGAATTATTCTATTATGTTGAATAAAACTTAGTTAAAGTTGTCTTTCTTCATTGACAGACTTTGGTGAGGAATCAGAAAAAAATAATTGGTTATGATGATAAAATGAGTATAGTCGATTACTAAATTAAATTATCAGGCTCTACAGTGACAAGTCCATAATTATGATATTTTACAAAGGCCAAAATAAGACATTATTTTGGCCCAACTTCGGGATCAACAAGCTGGATTCCGTAAGGATCGGTCGTGCACAGACCAAATTGCAACACTACGGATTATCGTCGAACAATCAGTTGAGTGGAACTCATCATTATACATCAACTTCATTGATTATGAAAAGGCATTCGACAGTGTGGATAGGAGAACGTTATGGAAACTTCTCCGACACTACGGAGTTCCTGAGAAGATTGTCAATATTATCCGGAACTCATACGACGGACTACAGTGCAAAGTAGTGCATGGAGGACAGCTGACAGATGCATTCCAAGTAAGGACCGGAGTCAGACAAGGCTGTTTACTCTCTCCCTTCCTCTTTCTTCTGGTGGTCGACTGGATTATGAAGACCTCAACATCTGAAGGAAAACACGGAATACAATGGACAGCTCAGAACCAATTAGACGATTTGGACTTCGCAGATGACCTAGCCCTCCTATCACGTACACACGAACAGATGCAGATGAAAACAGCCAGTGTAGCAGCAGTCTCTGCATCAGTAGGCCTCAGTATACACAAAGGGAAAACTAAGGTCCTCGAATTCAAAGCGGAGAACAGCAGTCCAATCACACTTGATGGCAAAACTCTGGAAGATGTAGAGTGCTTCACATATCTGGGAAGCATCATCGATGAACAAGGAGGATCCGATGCAGACGTAAAGGCGAGGATCGGCAAAGCAAGGGTCGCATTCCTACAATTGAACAACATATAGAACTCAAAACAACTTTCAACCAATATCAAAGTAAGAATCTTCAATACGAACGTCAAGACAGTTCTACTGTATGGAGCTGAAACTTGGAGAACTACAACAACCACAATCAAGAAAGTACAAGTATTTATAAATAGCTGTCTTCGCAAGATACTCAACATCCATTGGCCGGATACCATCAGCAACAGCCTTCTGTGGGAGAGAACAAACCAACTTCCAGCTGAAGAAGAAATTAGGAAAAGACGATGGAAATGGATAGGACATACATTACGCAAATCGTCAAACTGCATCACGAGGCAAGCCCTAACTTAGAATCCTGAAGGGAAGCGAAAAAGAGGAAGGCCAAAGAACACATTGCGTCGGATAATAGAAACAGATATGAAAACGATGAATTACAACTGGACGGAGCTAGAAAGGATTGCCCAGGACAGGGTTGGATGGAGAATGCTGGTGAGCGGCCTATGCTCCTTCACGAGGAGTAACAGGCGTAAGTAAGTAAAAGTAAAATAAGACATGTACTAATGAATTTGACAATGTTGTATGTTGAAAATGGTGAACGTTTGCATCTGTTACGACATCAATACCTCAAAATTGTCTTATTTGAAAATTAGAAAGGTCATTTAATAAAGGTCAGAATGATTTGGAGTAGTGTCCGATCATATTCAGTAGAATAGTATAATATAGCAAAATTAAAAATGCAAAAATCGTGTGAAAAAATGCATAGTAGGAGAATTTCATCTTGTCAATTGAGATAATAATGATAATAGCAATGGTAATAATATTGTTGCCCTCTCAAATATTCTTCATTTTTGAATATTCTATGGGGATTTTTAAACTGTTGAATTAAATTAATGAATGTATTGAGCATTAGATAAGGGAAATAAAATTATACCATTAATCATTCCATATAGTCTAAGATAATTGAGAGGAATCAGCAAGAAACTTTGAATGAAATGTTTTAACATACTAGTAACATTGTTGAGGAAACCTATATTTCACATTCATTTAGCTTTCAAGTAATAGACGTTACTATTAGGAATAAAGCACAACAATTGCTGGTGAACAAGGTGATCTCCAGTGCTGTTAGAGGCATATGGGCGACTGTCACTTCCCGGTTTCCCACAGCGAAATAGGATACCTCTTTCTGGTGTATTGGAAATGGAGACAGATTATCACGGATATTGACGAACTAAGAGTGAGGGCGCAGAGCCAAATGGATAAGTGCTTAAAGTTGGTTACATGCGGCTATTTTGGTGGTTTTTGATGTCTTAGCTCTGTGTTTCAAAAGGCTTTACTTCAGGAGATGGAACTCCGTAGGGTAAAGTGAGATGTGATACTTTTAGGGTCGACCTTTTCTAACTCCGTTACGAGAAGGCAGCATTACTGCAGATACTCGTTTTTTGACGGAAACACCTTATTACCGAGACAACCCAGTACAGTCAGTAGTACGACTTCGCCTTCATATCTTAAGTTCTTGCCTTTCATCTTACTGTTCTCCAGCTGACCTGTTTAAATCTGGCATTGCAGGGTCCAAAGGAAGCGTTACAATGATTAAAGCTCAAATTAGTCATCATGATAACCAAACCCAGCCATCATAGAGTAACAGCCACGGTCGAGTTGATCAACTGGTTGACAATAATTTCTAAGTTTATATTGTTTATCTTAAATAGAAATGGTGACTAGTATAAGAACAGATTGAAAGAATGCTAGGGGTGACCTAAAACATGATATAAGGTCTGAGCCATGTTAGGAGTAGTAAACCTCTTCGTTCAGATCGAGAGGATTGCAATGTATGATTAGGCACCATAGCTGTTAAATGTTTTAAAAACGGTTGGAGTGGTTTAGTAAAGTTTTTAGTGTCCCTCTTTTTCTTTGTGGCTATTGTGATATGATAGGTGGCTACTTAACCGATACATATGAGTCAGGTTCTGAGCTATTTATAAGACAAGATTTTAGATGAAAAAAGAAGACATATCGATGGTAACAAAGTTCACCTACCTGTATTGGTGTAGCTAATAAGAACATTAACATATTTTCAACTGACAATCCAGGTATTATCATAGGCGTAGTAAAATAGTGTATTGTATGTTCGTTTGTAATATTTGAATTATTTAGAACATTCTGTTGTTGTTGACCATTAATTGATATTTCACGAAAATGTACTGGACAACTTTCTGGTACATAATGTGGCCATAATAACATGAAAATAATCATAATCATCATTGTTGGAATAGCAAAAACTAAACTGAAATAAAATGAACTACGCCATCTAGACAATTTTAGTTATGTATGTTTTTATAATAATAAAAATAAATAAATAAATAATGATATTAGACGTTAATTTATAAGAAATTTATTATAAGATTATAAACATAAATACATCGTGATATTTTGTTATCTAAACAGATACGAAGATAGATTTATTTTTTAGAAGAGAGAGGAGACATGTCGGATAATTCTCGATAAGTTAAATCATGCTGAAAGATTACATGGACCTTATTTTATCACCAAGCCAATTAGCAAATAAAGTGTAGAATCCATCTGTTGATGCATCTTGATCCTTTTTTTCTCCTACCCAAATACTGGGCTAGTCAGGGATTCAAAAAGCATAGAATAATCACCAAATAAAACTAGCAGATTGTGACATGACTCCTGTTATAAGTATTGTATGGTCACACAATATTGTGGATTAGTGGAACATAGAAATTAACACCGTTTGATGCCCGCTCAGTGGTCTAGCGGTTATTCGTTTGGGTGTGGGATCGAAGGTCCTAGATCCTGGATGGACGCTGCTGAGGAGTCTCAGACTAGGACGGAACAGCAGTTCAGTGTTTCCAGGTTTTTAATGGTGGTCTAACATGATTCTCCATGAGACTCAACAACCTCCACAACCCTATAATTACAACTGTTAAGTAATTAAGTAAGGTCAAAAGCTCGGGGTGTGGCCCCCTAAGAAAACCACCTGCTTCAGTCTGGACACCCGGGCGGTATCACAGCCCTCACACAAATCAAATGATTTATGTGGCGCATATCTACGTGGTGCCTCCTTGTACCAATGTTTATGTGTTTAAATAAATAAATAGTTCCTTTATTGCTGATAGAATTCTATAGATTATGTAAACAATATAACGACTAGCCTAAGTTACTCAACACCATGTGTACTAAATGTTGAGTATTCTACTCACTTTACTTCAATTGACCGGGCCGATCATATCTCCCTTAGATATAAATTATTTTCTGATGATTATATTCCAGTACCATTGAGTGACATTTCGGAGAAATGCTGAAATAAATATCTACATTAAATGTTAATTTCTAGACTTAAACCCAGATTCTTTCAAAAATTAATTAACGCATAGCTTAGTATGTACTAAAAACACTTGTTGTGTAAACGCTGGAGACAAGGAGAGAGGGAGAGACATTGGTCGACATTGTGGCAAAATCAGCTGGAACAAATTTTAAACTTGGAAAAATCTCTACAATAAAATAATTAACATTAAAGTTGAGATATGTCGCGTATATTTCCACGTAATAGTAAAGTCAAAACAAAAATAAAATCAGTGACTAAACACATTAGGTATATATATATATATATATATATATATATATATATATATGACATACCTAAGTAAGGAACTTGATTCATGCAAATTCTGTTCAGGTCGACATAAAACTGGTTGATAACCTAAATTCTAAAAATAAAAAAGAAACTGGGAGTCATAACAGAATACGGAAAAATTACAACACATATACTCATTAAACACCAATATAATTAGTTGTTTTATGTTATTATTGGTAAACGCAATATTTGTTGAACGATTCTAGTGGAGATAAACTGATTTGTAGGAGGTCAATGGATGATGACTACCGTTTACAAACTAAACCAATCTCCAGAAAAATACCATCTAAACTATAATAATCAGTTAACTAGTGATTTATTTGCAGATAAGTCCTTGCAATTTTAATGAGTAGTTGAGACCGGAATAGTTCGATCACCAGGTACCATGAGACTGTATCTTCTGACGTTGGTTAACTGTCTTGTGGATTGGACTTATAGATTAACGACTCGAGTTGTCTCCTGAGAAAACCACAGCTTCGCTTTGAGTGTCCATCCAATATCCCATACCAAACACATGATAACAAAAAAATTATGATCGTATATTGACTTAATATTCATCATTAATTCACTGAAATCATGGACCGATCGATGTTAGAACACCATTAAAAGCCTGGAAGCACTGAACGGCTGTTTCATCCTAGTATGGGGTTCCTCAGAAGTGAGCATTCATGATCCCGCGCGCGGGGTTTGAGCCGAGGACGGGGTCGCAGATGCACACTGCTGAGTCCATACTAGAACGAAACACCCGTCTAGTGCCCCCAGGTTTTCAACGGTGGTCTAATATCGATCGGTTCATGACCTAAATGAAATCCAACAATCTCCACAATCCCAAACTGAAAATTATTAATTTGATCAAATTCAAACCAACGAGTAGGTGTATGTGTAAGTCTAACCATCAAGTCATGGACAATACCAATTGGAAAAAGGTTCTAGTAACCTGTCATAAATAGTAGATGGATGAGCAGGAGTTGAACCATTAAGGATTGTATGTCAAGACTAATGAGGGAACATTTCACAATCATTAAGGATACTGGTACAATCCAACTAACAAGTTTTTTACATAAAACTGAATTGATACATTGGCAAAAACTTTTTGTGCCAAACTAATGCGGTCATAATACTAATTTTAGATTGGATATAAACTTTGTTTTAAGAAAGAAATAAATATAAACCATAAAAAAAAGGAATTCAAATAACTGATTAAAGTGTTTCATTTTAAAATTACTATATTGAAATATAGATGATATATAACTGAGTCAAAATTCTAGAAATTACATACACACATACATATTGATAGAGAGAATTTAGAACACTTAAACTCATTATATTATCTACAATCTAATGACAATTGATGAAACATTACAGTAAATACATACAGAAAAAAAACATACTTCAATTTGTTTTATCAGATCACGAGGTCCAATTTCATTCAGATTGTATACAATACGAAGACATTTTGTTTTTAAGTCTAAAGAAGCACTATATACACCTTTAATTTTGTTTAGTGTAGATTCAATTGTTGTACATTCAGAAGGATTAGCTGATAGTTCATGAATCTGAAAATAATTATAGGGAATTAAGATGGATATGAAAGAGAGATAGAGAGAGAGAGAAATACACCTATCCAAATACGTTGACAAAACTATATTTCAGACATACTCAACAATTACATTCTGCTTTGGGACAAATATGTCAAAACATCATAGTTCTTTGAAAAAAATTGTTAGCCCACACAGAAAATATTACTGGTTGGTAATTTCGACGTACATTACACACAAGAGGACAACACAATGTCGGAAATTCCTTGAAATCGACGTTACCTCACTGATGCATAAATTAGTGTGTTTGTGTCTGTTATAAAATCCAATAATTCTAATTATTTTATAAACTCATTTATGAGGTACAAATTCATGTACTCGGTTTTGAACCACATTCCAAGTGTGAAGGCTGGTAATATTATCTGGTCTCGCAAGCCGAAGTACGTTTAGTGGGGTTCAAACCTGCAACTTATCAGTTGAAAGTCGAACCCCCTCCTAGTCAATAAACCACTGTTAAACTTGTCATTTCTTTTAAAAACATTAGATCAAGTTATAACTTGTGACTGGGTGTCATTCATCGACATTATTTTCACTTTCACTTATTAATCAACTAAACAGATGATAGGTGATGTAGATTCTAGCCATTTGATGACATATAGTAATTTTCGTACATGACTTTATAATACGTGAAAGTTGTAGTTCTCAATCCTAACGTAAACTAAAGTGGATCACTTCGTGATAAACTTATCCTTTGACAGTAGGGTAAACATCTTGTCAACAAAAGTGAGACAAACTTTCTATAACTCTGTGAAGTCTCCACAGTTACAGACTCATCAGGAATAATTATATATTCTAGTATAGATGACAGCGATATTTGATCTACGTGGTACTAGTTGATAAGTGAATCTGCGGGTAGTAGATCAATGGCTGAAAAGTCGAATAAAGCATAATTTACTATCCAACTACAAGTAAGCTGTGTAAAATAAACAGCTAACACAGCCGACGAACACCGCTAAACATAGTTACTTAGAATAATAGCTCATTTCAATGATATACAAATAAAGAGCTTCTCGTTAAGCGACGCATATTTTTGTCATGACAGTTAGTGGCTGTTGATCGACGAGGTAGAATAATGTCTCTAGGTCAAATATGGCAACAGGCGAACGCTAATAAGTATGTCCATGTGTCAAAATCTGAACAAAAAGATAGCTATTGATCGACATAACCATGGTTTTGTGGAATAACTAGCCAGTTTTCGAGCTTTTTCTATTTCTTGATGATTGGGGAAACTATGATTTAAAAAGGCGTATCAGTCAAACTGACTACTTTGAGTTTATCATAGTTCCTCAACTCTACTTAAAATTATTGTTAGTCAATTCAACTGATAGTTTTGATATGATTACATTTACATCACACATAAATTGTATACATATTAATCCATACTAACCGTGAAATGAATAGTTCCCCGTCCAGTATTTCCATGTAAATTATCATGTTGTTCTAATAATGTTGCAGAAAAACCTAATTCTTCGATTTTTTTAATTAATTGTTTAACAGTGATTAAAGTAGGTTCATAGATGATTTCTGCTTTCATAGCAATTAATGCAACCAAAGCAGAGTGAACACCTGGGAAGTTACAGCAGAAAAGAGAGAAAAAACAAACAGAAAATAAACACACGGTATGAAAACTAGTGTTATTCACGGAATTCAATAGAACAACATGTAAATCTATCTATATTTGGATCAATTTCATTCTTTTTTCTATATAAACGTAATTAAAAGAAAATATTTCACCCAAGTTGCTGAAGTTGATGTGTAAGTTATAGTTTTCCAAAAGGAATGGAACACTATAAGGTAGATAAATTTGAAGCGACTCTTCCAACATTTCAGAAGTTTACACAAACTTCAAAAATCATTGAATAAGAATGGAGAGAGCGAAAACAAAAAGAACAGATGATTAAGTTCAAGTGTCTGTTTATTTTACGAGGGAGGAAAAGTAAATACATTAAGAAGTTAAAAATTGTGCTCGATTATGCGAGATTAAAGAGGTAAAACATTGAGTGTGAAAATTTTGTACAAACTAATTTTTAAAGTAAAGTTTCAATCTGAGATACTAGTTTTCTTAATTTTACTATTTCATACATTAGTGCTTAAAAGTTTATTTATTATTCATTTAAACTCATGAACCTTAGTACAAAGAGGCACCAAATATATATGCACCACACATATCATTTGATTTATGTGAGGGCTGGAATATTACCCGGGAGGTTTTGTTAGGGAGCGCCACTCTCCTGTTTAAAAGTATTGACCGTTGAAAAGTTCGACAACAAAACTATGATATTAAGAATACAGAAGTCATACATCAATGTTACTAGAGAATTGATATAAACAATAACAAATTGAAGAAATGGACTTGGCATCTGTGCACACGATATTCAAGGATTAGTGGTTCCCGTTTGAAAACAACATGATTTTATATATTTTATTGGCTGATAGTAAACTTTTAACCAGTCAAAATATAACTAATTCATGTACCAAGTGGTTGGCTGTTCAGTGTTAAGAAAAAATAAATAAATAGTTTAGAAGGTTCCGTTTTGTGATATTTTTTGTCTACCATTGAAATGTCTAGTTCAAACATTTTGAAAACTATTATTATTATGTGTTGTAGGCAATGTTGAGTTTGAAATTTCATATAATGGACTGATTTCAGTCACCTTTGAAAACCAGGAGGTACTGGATAGCGGTTTCATGATAATATTAGGTTACTCGGTAATAAGACACCACCAGAGAATGAACGCGGAGCCTTCAGGTTTCGCTTTGAGCACTCGACATTGAAACCACTGAGCTAGTATCCGAATGTTTAGATTTCTAACTTCAATCGATTCTTGATATTGTGTAACTATCATCAATTGTCATTGCTTAGACTTGTTGTACGTTCAACATGGTTGAAAGTTAACACTATTTTCAAGTCACACTTATATACATGGTGTGGTGTTTTAGTTAAACAAGAGGTAACGACTAATTTATTCATATAAAGTTCAAAAATTAAGTTTTAAGTACTAAGTAAAACGAATTTCCTATGATTGATATTGTTCGGATTTTCTTAATTCATGAAGAGAATGAAACGTGAGTGACAGTACAAGTTGAATAAGATAGAATATTATTATATACAACTAAATTGTAATTCCTTTGTTTTGCCTTAAGCAAGTTTAAATGTTAACTGGAAAAACAAAATAACATTTTAAAAAAGAAATATTAAAACGTTCTAACCTTTTAATTTTAATAAATTCTGTTCAATATTATGTACACATGAACTACAAGTCATTCCTGTAACATGTAAATAACATTTTTTATGATGTACATTTAAATTTATTCCATTAGTTTGATATGATAAGGATGTTGATAGATGACCATTAGAGTTGGATAACGTAGTAGTGGTAGTAGTAGGATTTGTGCACAAATTTTTTTTAGATAATAATAATGATGATGACGATGAATATGGAATGGTATTAGGTAGATAATCGTTTAATGGAACTTCAGATAAATAATTTACTGTAGTTGAAAGTTGTAGTTGATCTAAGTATTAAAAAAAATCATTAAGTATAAATGAGAACAATGGATTACTTCAATTCTGTCATATTTTATGCAATACTATAAGGATAGAAAACTAATAAGGCGGGGGATGAGAAAGTTGAAATACTAAAAAGAATTCACTAAAACTAAGTATGCCAAGATGCGTATGATAGTTTATTTAAGTACGTATTATTAATTTCCACCATTTTGTACAGTTTACTTAACCAGAGGATTCTACAGTTTTGTTACATGACTTACATTGATTATATAGCGGCAACCTAATGAAATAGTGTCATGAATTAGTTTGATCACTACCACAAGGCTTCGTTCATTGCACTGTCAATGTAAGAATGAATGTTCAGCGTGAAATAATGAAAATGGTTTTAAAAAGGGAGATCCCTACGACTATCCTATTGATTTGGACAGTACACCAAACAAGTGATGTATTGCGTAATCAAACTCTTTTAATAATTAGGCTAAAAGTTAATATAAAAAGTGATTTTTTTAAGTGAGTTGCAATTTCCAGATAAGGCTTCTGATCCCTCTTTTCCTTCCCTCGAAACTTCATATCAAAATAAAGTATATGTAGTCAAACATAAAGTGAAATTACACTTGACAACCGGTCCTTACCATTTTTATCAATCAAACAACGTATGTATGTGATTGCTGTGACTACTAAGCGTAACAGTGATGTTAACAAAGAACTGCTCAAGATAAAATCGACCAGCATTTCAGATCGAAGTGGATGAAGTGCACTTGATACTGCCTTCATATTATAACAGTTAACAATACAATGAAAGTATTTTACTATGCACATGTTCGTGTACGCGGCTTGTACTTACACTCTTAAAGTGAAGGCTATTGATACAATCTGATTGTCGAGACGGACATGCGTGAAACAGGATTCAAATAAACAACTTCATTTGGTAAGATCTTAAATGTAATTTGTAATCGGGATCCAAAGTGGTTTAATAAAAAGGAACACATTTTTACTATTCTAGTTATAATTGAACATATTCGAAATATTTTTGAGTAACCATTCAATGCCCATATTGTATGTCACTGTTTTATCGGTTAGCAACATGATTTCCAATGGCTATATATATATATATATATAATGGTTTCGAAGGCCTTTCGAGATTTGTTCAGCAGGTCAGTACCACTGAATTTCACGACATGTATGACACAATATTTAGTCGATAAACCTTTTGTGGAGTTTGAGTAACGGTATATTTTATTAAACGTTTTACAATCTATATCTTCAGAACTGTTTAAATTTAGTCTCATCACTGAGAAAGTAAGCAATACAAAAACACTCTACTCATTTCTTTGTATTTTTATTTACAAGTGAATTTCGTAAACGGAAGCATTTTCCTAATAAGTTCATGCTTTATTCGTACCATTTTGATCAGAAGGAAGAATGTCCACATTTGCTGAATCACTTGTAACATATGATGTTTGAAACCCAAGCTTTTGTAATTCTAAATGAATTTTGTCAACATTAATCTCCAATAGATCTGAAGTGATGTGAACCAAATCATCCTGGGTTAACGCTTGTACCTTTGAATTCTTCGCCAGTGTGAATTTGCCCTCTTTATCTGATAGTGAAACAGAACAATTCTTTATATTGTACAGTTGCTTAACTGATTCTTCGTTGAAATAAGATTCAATTTTTCGTACACATGAATGGCAGTGCATTCCGTATATGGAAACAGTGATTTCGTAACTATCCAGCTGGGGCATCATTCATAAGAAAAACAGATGAAACGAAAGATAACTAATTTGCCAAGGTGGATTTAGAGTATTAGTTACTATAAGTGAACAAAACTTTTAAAAAATCACAATCTTGGTCAACGACAAAGATCTACTATACATTCTGTGAATGAAATGATCAACTAATGCATTCAGTGATTTTTAAAATTCACCTATTCGGCACATATTTGTTCGAATCCTAAAACTGTCTTCAACACAACTTGCTAGACAACAAAAATAAGAGACAGGTATTCCATTAATTATCTTTAAAGAAGCGTATTAAGGCTAGATTATACATTGAGTAAGATTGGAAATTAATTAGTTGCATTAACTTACAAACTCTGATTGTAGAAATAAAAACTTAGGTTTCCACTTTATGTAGCCGCAACTTATGAGGCTTATCATATTTGTTTATTCAACAATTTATTTCAATGAGCAGTTAATGGTTATAGACTCGTCAAAATATTTGTAACTAGCTCTTAATTTCCCAATGTTTAAATAAACCTTCGTGAGAATATCCGATAAAACAAGATTTTTCAAAGTACTCTTTCTCTATAAAAAGATCATACGAAGTCACTGGATGATCTAGTATGCTAAAAATACATTAAAGTGGAGTGCTTCCTCTACGTCTTCAAACCCATAAAAGTTTATACGAAAATAAATCTTAGTCTTCTGGGTTCTTTATGTCCCTATTTTCCTCTTTCCAAATTTATTTCACTGGATTATACTCCTTGAATATCATCTTCAAACCCTAATCTTTTCGATTACTGCTTATACTCTTACTACCTCTAACACTACGGGATTTGAATCGAAAACTGCATCTCTGTGCTAATGTGGTGTGGCAACTCGAACTGATGTACGTACGTATGTTGTTACTGACTGACTGAAATATAGTATGTTTATTGACGTAGTGTAATCATAAGCCAGACAGCAAGCAATAAATAATTAGTCATTAGTGGTTTTCAGACCTCAAAAGATTGATTCTAGTTCTTATAAAGAACTAGAATCAAACGGAAAGTCATCATATACAAAGAAATTAATATGGAACTTATATTATTCAACTAAGTACACTACCCTATGATGTTTTCACAAGCTATAGGTAAACCACTTACCACTAACAAGAACGTTTAACTCATCATATTAGGGTAAGTTTAACTTGAATGACAAACAGGTCGTTGAACACTCATCTGGATGAGTAGGAATGAAATAAAGATCATAAAATGTCGCTTTTGTGGGTAGAACAATAACCTAACGCAACTGTTCAGTCAGTTTAAAGTATTCAGACGGTTACAAATCTTCCGAGATTTTACATCACAGACTAAGATCAACCGAAGAATCATTTAAAATTAGGGGGCATTAGACAACCGTTTTGTTTTAGTTATGAACATCCACAATCTCGCCAATGGTCCTTAAGCATTCAGGTTTGGTGGTGTGAAACTAAGCATTGGATAATTCTTCACAACTCCAATATTTTAATGGTTATAATTGGCAAAGTGATATTCGACTATATGAAAACGATACAACAATAGTAATCAACTTACTTTACTTGTATAGTCTCTAGAAGGGTGATCATTTGTCGCATTTTGATCACCATGGTTAGAAACGCTATACACTTCAGATTTATTTGTAACTGAATTAAGCAATTTTATTCGAGCAGCTGGATATTGTTTAGAAGTTAAAAAGTCAGAAATTTGTTTCATTAAATTAACTGTAACTAGCCGAACACCTTTATTTGAAGAGTCACAAGGAATAGGAGATAAAATATTGATAGTTAACAACATTCCATTCTGAGACGAAGCCAAAACATGCAAATCACAGTTTGAAAGATTCATGGAATCAAGATATGCTTGAAGTAGTTCATGTAATTTAATAGTATTAATTACTCCGTCAACTTTGACAATCAAAAGATTTTGATGAAAACTTTGCAAATTCGCTTTGTTAGATAGATGAATAGTTGACAGACATTCAGATTTCATTGATGATGGAATTCTACTGTTATTTGAAGTTGAAACGTCTGTGCACATAGAAACTGTTTGAGGTTTCGTAATAGCCTTAAATCCTGCCTTACTGACACAATCTATCAAATCTACAAGGTAACATTAAATGAAGGTAAATACATATGTTTAACATAAAGAATATATTAGATCACCAGTGAAGACCTAGAAGCACAGGATGGTCGTCTCGCTCTAGTATGGGACTGCTCGGCAGTGCACATCCACGATCCAGCACGCGGGACTCGAAGTCCGAGCCTTCGGTTAACCTCTAGATCACTGAGCGGGCACCCAACAGTATTAATGTCTAACTTCAACCAATCCACGATATTGTGCGACCATCACTGTCTTAAGTGGATAACTGCCTCACACCTGACACAGTGGAACTCCAGTGATCACAGTTTTACACAAGGACTCCGAGAATCACATCTCGAACCTAGTCACTAGTGAGCCCATGATACTTGTAAAAGGTTGTGGAGATGATTGAATCTCATTTAAATCATGAATCAAAGAAAATGGAAGGTGGCCGCGCATTGTTGTGGATTGGTTGAAGTTAGAAATTAACATAGTTAGATGTCAGCCCAAGGGTCTAGAGGTTAAGTGTTCATGAACAAGACCAAAGGTCGGCGGTTTTAGCCCCGAGTGCGCTGTCGTAAATGCACACTGCTAAGGAGTCCCATACTAGGACCAAACGACTGTTGACTAGATAAACGAACTTTTCGCCCTGTCAATCCTTAAATTATTTATTACAAGGTATCACAACTACACACATGGTTTGTAAACAAAATCGGTCAACTTTTAATTATATGCATTCATATATTACAGAAACTTATAATTTAAAAAAAACTGGGAAATAATTTGCAGGACTGAAGGGATGATATATGTATGTTTAGTGATAACCGGACGAGAACCGGTGCGTTCAACGTGGTATGGTTGCCGGCTTAGTGGTAGCCAATCAATTGGCATCTAAAACATTAGTGTCGACTATTCCGACAAATCATCTACTTCTCTAAAATCTGTGGAATGCATCCTCTTTTCATTTAGTTAAGCAGTATGATCGACATTTATGCAAGAACTATAAACATGTCATTGTCACTTGAAGATGTGAATAGTATCCCCTACTGTAGTATTTCTATTTTTAGCGTTTTAAAGGCACCAACACACTTTACGAATGAATAAATAACTTACCAGATGTTGTTACTTGCTGTAAGTGCCATATTTCTACAGTAGATGATGATGTATTAATCCGAAAAGTGACTAAATTAGGTAAACATACAAGAGATTGATTAATCCTATCTTCACAGTCAGTGGAAATAAGGTCTTCAACATATAAACACGTCTCTAAAGCTTTACCACTGGTTTTATCCAAACAGTCAGGAAATGTCTCCATTTCGTAAAAAATTGGTTTTGCTTCAAAACCCATATTATTGACGGTGGTTGCAAGACACTCAGGAGTGATACTGCTTTCTTCATCGTAGATAATAATCGCGCGTTCAAATTTAAGGGAGACCTAGATGAAAAGTTAGTAGAATTTGATATAAAATGTACTGACTTAAAATCTAGGATACATTCTGGAAATCCAAACAACAGCATCATTAAATATTCAATAACTACAGATACACTAAACAAAGCCAAAAACTACCCAAACTATACAGGGGACTATTTCAGTCAACCAGTCACAACGTAAAATTTAGTACGTATGTACATCAGTTCAGGTTATCATACACCATTTGGACAGAGAGATGAAAATATCAGGTCAAATTCCATAGTGTTAAAGGTAGTAACAATACTAGTGGTGATAGAAAAGATTAAGGATCGAGGATACAATTAAAGAAAATACAAACTGACGAACTAAAAACAAATCAGAGGCCCAGAATTTGATGGAAGACAAAGAATGTATGCACATGAGCAATTTCAAACGATTTTGAGCCGCAAACCTAAGTATTTATGAAATACAAACTCCCGTAAGTAAAACAACATATACACCGACCTTCTGGAATCAAATAGATGCATTTGCACCCTAGAGAGTTGATCAGTATGTTAGCTTACTAAACTCTTATTGTTCTGGATAACCTGAAAATTTACTTAAGGCTTTGCGATCATAAAAAAGGATCATAGTTAAATGAGATCCGCCTACAGTTCCATTTGCCGTTTTCAAGAAATTATTACTCATGGAGGTACTGACTATAAGCAAAAAACATCGCTGAAGTCAAAAGCATACGATTTCCCTTGTATCTGAAATCTACTAATAGTTTTATCGCTCTCCAACTGACGTGTCTGTTACGGTAAGAACTCAGAGGACAAATGTTCCAGCAGACAAAAGGTGACGAGATTACCATGATAGACATTCCTGGACACCGCGTCATGGCAGCTGTGATCAAAACTAGTGAATTACCTGACTCACCAATCTACCAGTAGTAAGCGTCAATATCTCGAAATGTAACGAGTTTTAAAAACAGTAAAGTTTTCGAAAGTTTCAGCCGACCACTATTCTATCTGAGCTTCAGGAATAACTTGCTATTGCCACTGAATTGTTGCAACCTGTGTGAAGAATCGGCACGGCGTGGTTCAGTATTTCTATATTTTATTTTTTGGATTTCCCCATAAAATATTCATTACCATTATTATGATAAAAAAGTAGGCTGATTGCACAAAACTTACACCCTTGCCGACACGAACAACCTATTTTGTACAAAATGTGTAGCTGTTAACGATATTACGTTTTCTCCCTTTAATGTTTACTTGTTAAATTCCTTCAAATGTAACAGTACACATCGCAGCTTGGATAAAACCCACAACTTCGACAGGTTCAACGCATTTTTGCGCGAAAAGCCTAACCATAAATATAGAGTCCAGCATTTAGGAAATCAAAAAAGTGAGAACAGGATCAAATGAAAGATGATTTACAATTATAAGTCTTGAAATAACTTACATTGACAAAAATCACATTGAACTGCTTGTTGATGACTGATTCTATAAGCTGGACACATGAATTGCACGTCATGCCACGAATAGATATGGTAGAAAACCTGACTAACTTCATACCTTGACAACATTGAATCTAAAAGCCTACGACTGACTGTGTAGTCCGGTGGCTTGAAATTCCGCTCAAACTTAAGGTCAATCAAGCGAATCAAATTATTATGGACGAAATGGGAGAAGCTATAGGCTAGTTTCCCTCTGATTATTAGTGATCCGTATGAATATATCTTGTATGGCTCTTGATAAGTTGTCTGAACCCATTCAGCTGGTAGCGGATTCGAAGACTTTACTAGCCATAAGGTTTAGAACCTGTTCATACGGTACAAGTAACTGTAGTCAACACCTAACTTCCTAGTATTTCCCGAAATTCGGGTCTCAATAGCATTCAAGTAGGTATTCCAGGAGAGTCCAAGGTGGTGTAATACAAAAGACTATCGGTCTTCAGCCGCCTGTATTCAAAAATTCAAGGGTTTACACATTATAGTTTTCCGTTGGAAGGCTTGAATCTTGGTTCGACGACTGATGTATTCAGTTGCCTTCTGATACACTTCTTTGCAGTTAAGGAGGAAACACAATTTTTCCATACTCTTTACGAGGTCCCACAAAAGTGCCGAAAGCTAAATGGTAAATAATTGTGGCTGCACGCGAGCTTCAAAGTTTCCAAAGCAATGTTTTCCCGAAAGACATTTTTTCCGTTAGAAGACATGAAAGTACGGGATATCAAGTTAACTAGATCTTTCGCAACTAATGACAATTTTAGGTGGAATGACCTTAATTGAGTATGCAATTTAAGACCTGTCGCAAATGTAACAATTTGAAATTCGAGGATTTGAGGGCATGCTACAACTGAGAAGCTGAGTCATATATTCCTGACATGCTAGCTTATCACGTTTGTCGTAAACATCTCTCCGAAACCTGACATTCGCGAAATGTAATAACTCAGAACAAAAGTATGTTAAAGATGTGTGTGGGTCCATTATTTACTAAAGACTGAAAATGCACTTATATTTAATAAATTATGTGGAAGAAAGGAGTAATCATTGGTCGAATGTTAATAGAAGCCAAAATATTAGTCGGAATACGGGGAAGATAATTCAACTCTCTCATAAAATTGATGAATGGAAGACGGCTCTGAGCCCCTTATAACTCAAATGATTAATATCCAGTGATTTGAAGAGCTGCTCATAAGTCAAATTCCGACTCACTAACTGATCTTGTTGCTCGCTTTCGGATACGCCTCATAGTACTTTTACCATTTAGGAGTAAAAAGGAGACAATAAATTTCCATATTCGAAAAGGAGCAGTAAATTCGCATCTCTCAGTGTGCAACGTATTTAGTCGGTTTTTACGCATTATGTTACAGTGATTTTGTGCTTGTCATGCTTTTCTCTTTGCCTAAGTACATTTGTAACAGCTTGGGTTGATTAGTTAAGAGCTGAAGTCAAACAACAATAGAGCTCAATTATTCATTCACTTCCTCATTTCGTATAGGCACTATATTTCCTATATTCTTATGTTTTGAATGTTGAAAAGCTATGTGTGTTCAAACAGGTAACTACCCACTCCCTTGTGAATGTGCCACGACCCTTAATAAAGACCTATTCACTGCTAGTTTAGTTTCTCAGAATGGGCAATCATGAAGCATCAACTCCTCTCATACCTCTAACAACACTAGAAATTTTTTCCATAGTCAAATACCCATGTCTCTTGGTATTTCTTCCATCCCCCATCACAAACCCCTCGCCGAAGACTTCATTTTCATGAACCAACAGTGCCATCTGTTTGAGTTCAAGAGATTTCTTTCTGGTTTCATCAAACATTTCACTAAAACGTACACTGAACCTCTAAATGTTGAAAAGTTACATCAAATAGGTCAATATGCTTTTGTAGGTAGACTCGGGAATCCCGTGCCATTTTAGCAGTCCATATCTCCGGAACACACATACAGGATCTGTAGTCTATTGTTAGAGCAGTGCTAATAACGAAGTAGATCGTAATACTACGGACCTACCCCACTCAACCAACTGGATATCCGAGCGATGAAATGCAACTCAAAGCACAGGTGGATAGTGTCAAGTCACTCTTTATGACAGCCAGTTTACCGAAGATAGAAGTCATGAAGTTTGACGGAAGCCCTCTGAAATTTTGGACGTTCATAAAGGGATTCAAGGCTAACATAGCCGACAGAGTAAATGATGACACTCAGAAATTAATGTACCTGATACACTGTTGTGAGGGCATAGAAAAGGATGCTATAGAGCACTGTGTTTTATTACCAGAAGAAGGTCATATTAAAGCAGTTAATAACATCAAATAGGTCAATATGCTTTTGTAGCTAGACTCCGGAATCCCGTGCCATTTTAGGACTCCATATCTCCGGCATAGCAAAGGATGCCATAGAGCACTGTGTTTTATTACCAGAAGAAGGTTGTACTAAAGCAATTAATATTCTACACGAACAGTTCGGCAGACCACATCCCTACATAAGTCACTCCATAAACAGTGGGAGAGATCAGGATAGCCATCAGGCAATTCGGGAAAATTCGGGAGAAAAAACGTGTGCCAACAGACTCGAAAGGAGGAGACTTCATCAAGATACCAAAGAAAGTAGATCTGAGCAAATGTGAGAACTAAAGAGGTATCACACTAATATTGGTACCAAGAAACGTTTTCAATGGTGTGTTGCTGAAGCATATGAAAGATTCAGTAGACACCCAGATTCGAGATCATTAAGCTGACTTCCTCAAGGATCTATTGCTCACAGAACAAATGGCGACACTACAGACCATTGTTGTGCAATCAGCCGAATGGAACTTGTCACCACACATCAACTTTCTTGACTATCAGAAGGCGTTTAACAGTTAGGATGTCAGAAAATTATGGAAACGCCTTTGACACTATGATGTTAGTAGCTGAGAAAATCGACAACATCGTACGGGGTTTATACGTCGAACTGAACTGCAGGGTGGTGAATGGAGGACAGACGACAGAAACATTCCAAGTGAGGACTGTAGTCAAATAAGGCTGCTTGCTCTCCCCCTTTCCATTTATTCGGGTGGTCGACTGGATTATGAAGACCTCATCTGAGAGGAGCACAGAATAAAATTAACAGTTTGGATGCTACTGGATGATTTGAGCTTCTCAGATCACCTAGCTCTTCTATCCTATTCACACCAACAAATGCGGATGAAAACAACTAGTGTAGTAACAGCCTCGACATCAGTACGCCTCAACATACATAGGAGATAAGGCAAGATCTCCATATACAACAAAGAGAACATAAATCCAATCACGTTCGATGAAGAAGCTCTGGAAGAGGTGAAAACTTTCAAGTGTCTGGGCAGCAACATCAATGAAGAAGGAGGATCTTATACAGACGCAAATTTGTGGGTTGGTAAAGCAAGAGCCGCATTCATACAGTTGAAGATCATAAGGAACTCAATGCAACTGTCAACCAATGTCGAAGTCACAATCTTCAATACGAACGTAAAGACAGTTCTAGAGTACGGAGCTGAAACATCGAGAACTACCACAGCCATCATCAAAATCGTACAATTATTTGTGAACAATTGTCTATACAAGACACTCAATATCTGTTGTCCGGATACCATCGGCAACAGCCTACTGTAGGTGAGAACAGGCCGACTTCCAATTGATGATGAAATCAGGAAAAGACGATGGAGGTATACAGGACATTCGTCGTGGTAATTATCAGACTGTGTCACGAGGCAAACGCCAACTAGAGATCTTGAAGGGAAACGGAAAAGAGGAAAACCAAGGAACACATGGCATCGGGAATCGGAAGCGGACATAAAAAGGATAAATGGCATTTTGGAACAACTGGGAAAGTTTGCCTCGGATGGAGTTGATTGGAGAATCCTGGTGGGTGGCCTATGCTTCTCCACAGTTATACAGACGACGATAATAGCAATAGCGACATCTGTTAGTAACCACAACCAGGGATCTGATGCGGATGTGAAGGTGCGTGTCCGCAAGGCATGAGCAGTATATCCATAATCGAAGGACATCCGAAATTCAAAAAAATTGTCAACCAACACCAAGTTCAGGATTTTCAATGCGAATGTCAAGACAGTTCTACTGTATGGGGCGGAAACTTGGAGAACTATGAAAGTAATCATCCAGAAGATAGGAGTGTTTGTTAACAGCTGTCTGCACAAAATACTTCAGATTCGTTGGCCAGACACTATCAGTGACAGCCTACCATGGGAGAGAACAAAACGGAATCCTGTGAAAGAAGAAATCAGGAAGTGGATAGGACACATCAAAAATAGCATCCAATGCAAGCCTTCATTTGGAATCGCCAAAGCCAAAAGAGAAGAGGAAGACCAATAAACACATTACGCCGAGAAATGGTGATAGACATGAAAAGAGTAAACAACAATTGGACAGAACTAGAAAGGATACTCCACGACAAAAAGGGTTGGAGAAGGCTGGTCAGCGGCTTATGCTTCATTGGGAACAACGAGCGCAAGTGAGTAAGTAAGCAACCACAACCAGAAGGTCAACAGATATTAGTGGACTACAGAATCGTCTAATGCCTGAAAGATTAACCTGCCTGGGTCCGAACACTATTCCATGTGAAAACAATGTGAATCCAGTGATGGAAAGCCTACGCAATAATCGTGAGGAATGGTAAGAAATTTGGTCAATAGGGCGAACACAACATAAGAAATAAGACTAGATCTAAGCCTAAAATTGTGTATCTGCCATGAGGTCTACCTAACCTATGAAATCTTATGTGGAAGTAATGTGGACCTAATAAGATGTCTTATTATTATTCTTGATACCCTGTTCTTACTTCTTTCACTAAGATCCACTCTTCGCTTTCCAATTAGCTTTTATGGTTTTAATGATTGTTATCTAAACGTTCACATTTTTTACGTCATTGACTTATTTCCTCTTGTGAAACATTGATTAAGGTCTTTGTTATTCTTATTACAACTAGTACATGTGTCTTCACTCTGTCAGTTTGCACTTTTAACTTATTATGTTTAATCATATGATGAGACTACCACATAAGATTTCATAGGTTAGGTAGACCACATGGCAGATACACAATTTTAGGATTAGATCTAGTATTATAGCAGTACTAACAACAAACTAGACAATAATTCTACTAACTGACGGCTCTTCTGTTTTCAGAACCTCCAAATGCACTTATCAATTTTAATGTGTGTGGCAAAGCACGCACACACTAGAAGAACATAGAGAAGAGTTCATGTTCATATTTTTGAGCACGTATATTTGACGATTAAGAATAAAAACCATTAGTAAATGATGACGAAATAATGTCCTTATTCCTTAAGAATATGTCAAGTTACCTTTTAAAGGAATATTGGGAACTCTGTTGGGCTAGCTAAGCCGACAGCGAATTTCAGCATTTTACTACTCGTAAGGCCAAGAAAGTTTGCCTACAATACATTCCACTATGTTGTGTCTCAAACTTCTTGATCTTACCCTCGAGGTTTGTGTTGGGACTGAGCTTAAGTAGAAGACGCCTAGGAGTGTATTGTATGCTGTACGTCATTAGAAGGCCACCTCTATACGCCTATACTCTAACGGATAAATGTTTGATGAGTTGAAACGTTTATCATCAGGCTTGAATTTCAGTCGTCGAACTGATTTCGTGGCTGGCGGTTAGATACGTCTCATTGCATCCTTATCCTTTCGAAGTTGGTGAAGAAACACGTTTTATACTCGATGTGGAGTTAAATAAAACTGTTAAAGATTATGTGGGGGTTAATACCGTCGTAGTCACCAAAAGGCGCCTCAAAGTTACGAGTATAAGTTTTACTAGGAAGGCATTTTTGTCGCAGTTAGCGCAAGACTTTAGATCATAAGAAACCAACACTCCTAGACTTTTTTGTACTTGGGATACCTCTAGAGTGGAGTTATCTAAATTATGTTCGTTGTGTAACATGTCTCAGATGGCTACTTAACACTTTGAAGTATTAAAAGTAAGCTTAATGTTGTCTGTCCAACGGTGAATTCGAGTCAGATCCTCCTAAAGTGCCAGCTCAACATTTTGGTTGCATACTTCTATCTAGAGTTTCACATCGTCAGCGAAAATTAATAAATTAAACCATACTTTCTGAAGAAGGTCATTTATATAAATTAAGAAAAGAAGAGGTTATGGTACTGAACCCTCAGGGAGCCCGCTCGGAAATTCTGTAGCCTGAGAAAAATTGAAGTTTACCCTGAACTTAAATGTTCGATCGTTTAGATATAAGATAAACCAATCATTTAGTGGTGGCTTAATGCCTGATCGTTTTGGGCTTATTGATAAGGAGTATGACTGACCACATCGAAAACCTCTGAGAAGTCAACGTGATTAACGTTTACCTACCCCTTGAGATCAAGGATGTTTGCCCATCTGTCACCCACGATCAATAGGCTGGTCATACAAGAGTAACACTTCCTGAAATCGTGCTGTTGGGGTGAGAAGAAGTTTATGGATGGTAGATAGTTAGGTTGACCGTCGCATATCAGAAACTCCATAATTTTTATTAGCAGTGATATAAGTGCTACAGCTTGGCAGCCTGAAGGTCCTCGACGTCAGTCTGCATCGTAATTCCATGTAATGCGAATCAGTTAACAAGTTTCTGGGGCCGTGCCTTAGCTTACCGAATACGAAACATTACATTTGATGATTTTGCTAAGATTGAAACCGCCTCTCCCAGTGTGGCAGGATGGACCATGTCCGGGTTAGGAGGAAGGTCCTCGTTTGGATGCTGCAGTTTTTGGTACACAAATTCAGAGCTCAGGATCTTTTATGAGGGTCCAGCCGAATTGCGGATGAAGCTCTAGTCGATGAAGTTGGTATGTGGCTGTTGAAATGTTCTTCCAGAAGGTTGGTGGTGTCACCGTGGCTGTTGGTTGGGACATTTTGGCCTTGTATTTGGCTTGTTGAAGAGAGGCTGCAGGACGGAATAAACTTGTCGGTTTGGAGACAAATTTTATGATTAACTTTATCTAATACTGAAACCTGTCTTCACTTGTCGCCTATGTGGATTGATTCTTTGTTGTTTTTAATTGCCTATACTTGCGTTTGTCATCAGTCCGTCTACATTCAACACAGTGGTACCTTTTGCATCTTAGCATTTTATGAGTGCGATTCTTGATGACTATAGGTTCCTTAAAACTTTGGAGGACCTTCTTCAGAAAAGACTTTCGTTGCATATTAGATCGTGTGCAGTGAGAAGCCCAGGTGAGCGTCTACATCGATTTAAGGATAAGCTTCGAAATGTAAAGCTAGCAGATCTAACCATTTTTACTTACAACCCCTATTGTTAGTAGGATGTTATAGATCAATTTTACTGATAAAAGGAAATGATATGACGACATTATCACTTTTCACCAGGAGGGCCAGGATTCAAAGGTTATCGATCGCTAATTCTTCGTTTGTAAAAATACAGTCTAAGCGTGATGGCATCTGACTATTTCTCCGGTCAGCTGCTAACTTTCAAGTAGTTCGAGATCATCTATGAGACTGAGTTATCGCTTCCAATGTACTTGAGGCCAATGAATTTGACTCTAGGAAGATTGAAATTTCCCCGTATGGGTGAGTTTGAGACAAAAATCGCTGGCTGAACTGTTCAGCATCTGATTGCCGTAATCCATGCAAACAGTGGGCTACGTAGAGATGACACCAACTTAAATGTCTCGAGATATTAGACAAACATCCAGGGCAACGTACAAATTAGTTAAGACTGATAAACTCTTGAGTGAACACTCTTTGTGCTACCAAGAAAGACGGTCGATGTTATGAAGGTGTTAATTTTCAGCGTATACTCACTAGTGTCGATGCTTGTTTCATCAATACTAATGTTGTCAAAGTCCCTCTCCGTTACTTCAGGATTACCTTTTCTCAAATTCGCTGGTAAGTATTCTTCGCAGATTTGTCGAGAGAATGATGATGTTGCTCAGCAAGTTCTCAGCATTCGTGTTGAATATGTCAAATACCCACATGGCATCTGACCCAATAAGTCTGTTGTTACCAGTTACTGTAAGATCTGTGAATCCTTCGTGAAACCAACCTTTGCATTTGTCACATTGCATACTGCAGATAACAGCAGAACAGTATTCTGTTCGCTTATATGAGATCTTCGTGACCATGGTGCAATGTGATTTGTTAGATAAACCCTTCCATAAGTCCGAGACTCTAAAACAAAAAAGCAATACACTAAAGACGTATAAAACGGGTAATGAAAAAGTTTAAGAGATTTTTTTGGGGATAGTTAAAATGGACTTCTTTGTAATTAGTTTTGATACTATTTGCAACTTTCATTAATCCTTACAATTTATACAGTTACAACTATTACCAGTAAAATTTTCCTTCAAAAAACAAACTTTGACCTTTCGTTCCGGTTTGTTAACACGCACATAACATGACTCTTTTATTATCACCCACGAATACACTGCTGCGCAAAAAGGTTATTTTAGCCTGTGGCCAGACCAATCTATTTATTCTTCTTAAATCGCATTTTGACCTTGTCAGTATTGTTATATGAGCGTACGTGTGTGCACGACTTATCCTATTCATCACATGTCTGTAACTTATTTTAGTGTGGCTATAAATATCGATTGACGTTTGGTTCAATCGAGTTGGCCCACGCACCTTCAACAATCCTCATCATTTCATTTCTCCGATCATTTGTCTGGATCTATGATTGTATGAGATTCACGCATTCAAAATCCATTTTCGTATTTGACACATTTAATTCCGTTATTTACTAACACGAGTGAAATCGATAATCATATACGAGGATTGACGAAATGTATTTTTCGATAGCAATCATTCATGCAATCCAAATGAATCCAGATTTAGGGCCACTAAAATATACTGAAAGTGGCGTCGACTTGGAAAATTATAATGACTGGATAATAGGGTGAGGCGAGATCATAATCAACTACTTACTGTGATGAAACTAAGAAAAGGTAAACCAATGAGATTTAAACTCAGGATAGTTTTCTATGGTCGAAAATAGAAGTTTGTGAAAGGAAAATATATTGGGACTAAACTTTGCATTAGTGAAGCGCTCAGTTGTTTTAATAAATAATTTTATCAGTGGTTTGCTGTAATACACACCACAAGTCAAGCAGAGTATTACTGTTACCAACTTTTGAGAATTTGTTTAGCTTTATAGTTGTCAAGGTCTTTTGGTACTCGTTATTAACCTTGAATTTGGTGGAAATTCATCCCGTCAGATGGAATATGTATTTTCTAATTAACACCAATGCTAGTTTTTAAAATGTTTACCGTGTAATGCTAATGTCTTGTTGAGAAAGCATCAGATCAAAACTTGGGAAATAGCTCAAAGTTAGTGAAGTTTTAAGTTTTGGTGGTTTACAATATCCCATATATGGGATAATTTTGTTACAAATCTATATTAAGTCGAATAACTTATTTTCACTCGTCCTGTATTTTTACAGTACGGTTGTAGATTTATGGTGCTGTCTAGTGGGCGGCATTCTCGCCTATGGACTACGTTCTTCTTAAGTTTTCAAGTCAAAATAATGGTGATGCTGTTGAATGTACAAAACCAAGTACGATTAAAACGTTGGTTTTAAAAATTCACACATTAAATGAGTGCAAAGATACAATCATCAAGCTTTCTTATTTTGTCTGGTGAAAGTTTGATCTTCAAATTTTTGGTATTCTCATGATAAGAGTTGTATATTGAATTGTGACGCTCATGAAAAGAGTAGCATAGCCTAAAGTTTCTGGGATTTTTGTTAAATAATTCTAAAGGTATATAGCCGCCATGAATTCCAATGACTAAATCGAGTTTGTTTACTAAGGGACTTGTTGAGACTATGACTTTTGACATTTTAATCATCGCTACTAGGGTTTGACTCTATGATTTCAGCCGAGATGCGTAGTGATTGGATTGTTTATAGTGATATTTGAACTTTTATCAGTTTGTTTATTCTGTGAAAAAAATTTACATGAAGTACCGAAACGTTAACATTTCAGTCTACTACTCACAGAGGTATTACAAATATATTGTTTTGATATTGTGTTACAAGAAAGCAGACTCGTGTAATAATCGTAATTTATAAGCTTTCTGTGATCTTGTCCAGGCATCTGATCCATCACAGGTAGTTCTTTGATGACTCACCAAAAACCCTTCACTTAATGAACTTATCTACATGAAACTTTATAAGGTACATTAATCTTAATCTCACAGCAGCCGGTGACAAAAGTAGGCCATTTGGTGCCTCAGAATCCTAAAGCGTACGTATACCACTGGTTTAAGATCAGGGATTTCGGCTTCTCAAAGTGCAGTATTCATCAACCTATTTCAAGCAGTAAATATTCAATCTCCTCTTTCCTTGTGGATATGGCCCCTACTGCATAAGTTTAACGAAACGTTTTTTGGAAGAGACCGCAAACACAACTATATAACGGGATTTCGTGAAGAATAATAGGCTTTCCTTATCGTTAGTCGCATCAGGACACTTTTAGCTCATTCACTAGTAAATGTAACAATATTATCCTGAAAAAGTAGACAAATTGTCTATTTCTCCTAGCAAAACTGTTTTTTGCTTACAGAATAGGCTCAAACCTATATAGTTAAGCAAAAAACAGTCACAACACTTACATCTGGATAATATTTACGCGGTGTTATCGACACGTCATTTCGTAACCTTTATTTTTTGTCACATTTTAAAACTACGCTTAACGATCATATTTTTCATCAAATTTTGCTAACTAGTAGGGAATCTTCATGATGTTTACGTAGTACATGTCGGTTATATCTTTGCTTTCACCATTATTATTTACCACTTTATTTGAATCGATTAATATTTCGACTGAGACTTATTCCAATATAATGGCATTGTTCAGTTTAAGATATTTGATAGAAAAAATCCAGTTGCTTGTATATTCCAGTACCATGGATAACATTTTATTTCATTCATGCAAGTCTTAAGATTGTCAAGTGAGAAAAATGGAATTCACATAGTTGTAGTCTTTTTCGAATTAAGCGAAATGTCTCTTAATTACTCAATTTCATACTAATATTTGTGTTTTATAACAGCTGATTTTAGCATGAAACAATGTAACTGGATATTTGTAATAAATTCGGACTCCTTTCAGAAACCTATAAGTTGCTAGAAACCGTTCGTAAAATATTTATTTATTAAGTCGATAATGCATATACACCTGTAAGAGATAATGAGAGAGTACGACCACAGAAACTATGTCTTCTTTCTACGCTTTGTTTAAGAAAAAATTTTTTATGATGTGCCCTTGTTCAAAACAGTTTTACAGCCGATCAGTGGAATAATCAATCAAAGGCCAGAGACATTATTCAGAAGCCTTCGTTTGAATGATTTTTTGTCCGAAATTTAAAATAAAGGTGACACAGAAAACATTGTAACAGTTCGTTTTCGCTATTAACAGAATGATAGAATCAGAGGTGTTATTTGAGAAGTTCCATTTGTACAATGGCTAATGGGCTAGTGAAAACCGTTTATATTTTTATTATTAATTATAGCGATTCACTGGCTTTTAGGCATAAATGCTTTTTTGATTTGCTTAGGTTGGTAGTCCACTGGTATTTTGTGCCTCCATCCTTCGTTTGGCCGTTCTAATTGCACGTTTGTTTGCTCGTTTTATTCATTTGCGCCGTTTTTCTTTTTATGTTACTTATCAATTAAGTATAAATTAACAGTATTGCTTGTTGGTAATCAGTTATTCTCTAAAACTCCCCACCTTTATCGAGTGATTTATTTCAAAATGGGTTAGGTCCTACCCCCACTAGTTGAAAACAAAGTTACATTAGCGTTATCTAATCACATTTAAATTCGATTAAACCGGGGAAAATAATAGCCGTAAAATGTGATGAGTTTACGGATTTAAGAGATTTTGATTAACTACCTACAACTTTAGAGACAACAGTACTAATTTTATAAAAAGCCATGCACATAACAATGATAAACCCATTCACCAGGTACTTGAATGTGAGTTACACTCTAAGTGTGAGGGTTTATGATACTAGTCAACTGTCCAAACAGTAACACCTGGAGCGACGTTCAAGCGCGGAACGTAGTCGCTGAAGTTTTATACCGTATTGTCAGAAAAGTCTTTATCAGTGAAGACTAAGAAAGAAAGAATAAATATTAAACAACCATAAGATCTGTCTATATGACTGAATGCTCTGTTCATTATGAACTAGACATGTTACGAAAATTTAATTTTGTGATAACTAACACTTTTAACCTACGATTAGTTGTGTTTTCTCCAAAAAACTATTCTGTTTTTTGCGAATTACTCATCAAACACACCTTTACTGTAGCGGGTTTGTGGGTATTGTCGAATTTTCACAGTTTTTCATCGTGAACTAACTTTAGACAAACATTAAAAACAGGAAAACACTGGATAGATATTTCATCATCATCTAAAACTTCTGAACAGTGCATCTTCGTGATTGTACCGATGATCAGACATAGAACTAAAGGGAAATTTCTTGTGAATTACTTATAAAATTCCCATTGTATAAGGTATTTTAGATAATTAAGCTCTCCCAACCTCGTTTCACTTAGCTACATTATTAATATATGTATATGCAACTGTAACTAAGTTAAATGCAGTCTTCTGGAGTGTGGGTCATCTTAAATCCACTTAGTAAAATTGACTTTGTTCACTGTTAGTAATTGTCACTTGGATGCATGAAATATTAAGTCACTTCTACTTTTAAGTTAAATCCTTTTCAGTTAATTTGCTGACATTTGTTGGCTTATGTTTCATTGTTAATTACAGTTATGTCGCAAAGTTTTTTTGAAATTATGTTTATGTATTTAATAGTAGACGACTAAAATATTCTTGTAATCTGTTAATCTAGTAGGAGTATTTCGAAAATTTAATCTATTGAATTAACAAACAAATAAATAATAATAAGTCTCATACAAAAATGTGCATCCATTTTGTTACATTCTGTATGCTTTATTGCCAATCAGATAAACTAATCAGTAGATTTATTGGGTTCGTGGTATAATGCTTACTTGAATTTGAGTCCCAACAGAGGGAATACATTAGTTAATCTACAGTAATTCAACGATTTAAATTTAACCAAGATCATGAACCAATGTAATTTAGACAAACACTTAAAACTTTGGAAACAATTGACAGCTATTTCATCCTAATATGGGATTAGTTAGCAGAGAGTATCCACAATCTTGCCATCAGGGATCGAACCAGAGATTTTTGATCTCGTCTGTGAACTCATAACATCTAGAACACTATGAAGGCAGAATTCATTGCTGTGCTAATTTAACTTCAATCAATACAAATCCACCTAAAGACAATTTTTTATTTATGCTAATACTTTTGTTTTAAATTTCATTCTAAATAATTAAATCAACAACGAAATTTTATCACTCTAATTTTATAAGATTTACTTCATTGATATAATGTTTATATCATGTATTAGAAGATAGAATAATTTCTAACGTCCATTTTGTTTTTCATTTCTTAAAATCTATGTGGTGGTTAAAAATTCTTTGATCTATTGTACGTACTATGATATGCTTTTAATTTTATGTAACTGATTGATTTCATATAGTTTTAATGTATCATAGTCAAAACTGAAACTTTTTACTGATATAGAATTTCAGTATACAAAATTCGGTTTTCAAGCGATAGTGTAATCGCTTATGTAAGCGTATAGATATACATAATGTATAGTGAACTGTAAAAATATTTTGAAATACGGTACACTTTTGTTTTCACATTTACTTAATTTGTCACGTCTCTCTCATTCGCTACTTTTTTTTCATGCCCAACTGAAATGTATGATTTTCTGTATTATTAATAATCATAATAATACCATTCCTTTTTAGTACATAATGGCATTATATTAGGTAAAATAGCCTTACTGTCTGTCATACCACTTTTGCATATATAAAGATATACGTATACATGTATTGACATGAAATTGTAATATATATACCCTATTTTCGTTTTTAGAAAAGGTGACTTATCTTCTAAGTCACACGGTTTTACTTTTCATTTGTTTTGTTAAACTATTTTACAGTTTTCTATTGAACATATATGTGTTTGTGTGTATTGCAGCCCTTATTTTATTGAAATTAAGGAAGAATTGATGGTCAAACATCCATTTAGCTTTTGATCAAGTGTTGACAAGTTCTAATCCTATTCTGTTTAATTTACTTTGAACTTATGGCTAGTATCATCTGTAATCACACAAATATTGTAACTTATAAATTTGTACTCGGTAATTGCATTACATTTATCATTATTTTGTGATGCCTTTGTTTAACAATAAATTAATTGGTAAATAAAAATACTTGAGA